CTTATCCCGTCGGCCATCTACAGCAAGGAGTGCCCCCGCCGGTACTCCAAGCCAACCAGCAAAGCCAAGTTTTAAGGACCCTCTGGAAGGCTGGGCGGGGGGAGCAGATCTCACATCTGACGGTAGTATGTTCCACAGAGCAGGGGGCCACAGTGGAAAAGGCTCTTCTCCTTGACAGCTCCAGTCAAAATTCCTTCACAGGTGGAGTCTGCTGAAGTGAGGGGGTGGGCTAATCCCGTTGGGGCGAGACAATCCCATTGAATTGTCTTCAGAACTTTGTTCCAGTGACCGTCTTCAGATGTTTCCTTCCAAAAGCTGACTCTGAAATTGACGCTCTTGTTCCCACGCAGAAAACCCTCCGGGACAAAGAACTGGAAGGGCTCCAAGTGAAGATTCAGCGCCTTGAGAAGCTGTGTCGGGCCCTGCAGACTGAACGCAACGACCTGAATAAAAAGGTCCAAGATCTGTGTGCTTTTGCCTCTCTGACCACAGGGACAGAGGACCAGCCCCACGGCATCGGCATCCCAGAGGAGCTGGCCCTGCAGGGCCCCAGGGCAGGAGAGGGCTTTGGTCTGGCCCAGGCAGCGGGCCCCCCAGGCCCCCCTGAGCAGCCTGGGGTACTGAGCATAGGAATGGCAGCTGGGCAGCCAGCAGAGGAAACTGCTAACTCTGCTCAGTAAAGCTGAAGGATATACGGGCAGGTTGCAGCGCTCTCCAGATGGATCCATTCCTCTTTCGAGGAAGCCCCGTGCTCAGATGAAAACTGTTCTGGGGCTTTCAGGTTAAAGCTTTTGACAATACTGAATGCTTTTTTGGCTTTTAAAATAATCTCTCTGTATTATCCAACACTATGTACAGCAGCAACATCCACCTTTTATATATAGATCTATAAATGAGATTGATCCTGTTCTCTGCGTGGTGCTGTGTGAACATCTACGTGTGTGGCAGATCCAGCCGTCGATCCTTTTCAAAGGTGGGAAGCAAAGCGGGAGAAGCTTGCTAATTTTACCTCCTCCCACTTTAACATCTGGCTGTTGTAGCTCTCAGTGAGTGCCATACTAATGCAGATGCAAAGCAAAAATCCCGGTGGGACTTTGAGGATTAATTCTTTTCTTTTTCTGAATGGTTTTTTTTTTTTTTAAATTACCAGACCTGCCCTTTAAAGTCAGTGCTGGAGACTCAGGAGTTTGATAATGTGGTAGATTATTCTTTTTAGCCTGTGGGGGGGGGGGTTGGGGGGGAGGAAGATGGAGAATGAAGCTGATGTATTACTGTGACGTGGGGACAGAGGCCAAGATGCCCCTTTCATTGGTGTGGGTGGAGGAGGCGTCATCTCCAGGACTTTGCTACTTCCAGAATTGATGTCTCAATAGCCTTATGACTTCACAGTTGCCTCTATGATTATATGTGTGCATGCACACAGACACAAGCAAGTGTATGTATGTACTGAAGATTTAATCCAAAGGTTTTGCTTCCTTAACTGTTTTGCACATGCTGAGCATTCCTGCCTGCGTCTGTGCCTGGCGAATTTCGGGTGGCAAAGCAAATTCTCCTGTGTGTAACTTTCAAGGAGACAAAACGTAACCCCCCAGTCCAGACCACGTAGGTGATGGGCCCAGGAGCTAGAACAACCTTGGCCCAAGTCTGGTCGCCTGAGATGTGTCCTAATAGCACTTTTGATGGATTGTTTGTCTGTAGAATCATGTGGTGGGGAGGTGTCCTCAGAGCTTTTTGGTAATTTTGTTCATCTGGACCCTTCTTCACTCACAGCCAATTCATTATTTTAATTTGTGCCACTTTTGGTCTTAAAAGCAATCACAAAATTCTTTTAGATAGATGCTAAGTCAAAGCCATTTTAAGTATTAATATAAAATTATTATATTGCTAGTAGCTTCCTTTCCACTTGAGAGAGATTGGGGAGAACTGGTCACTGTTGAGTGCGAGGGCCATTTGTTCCCCCCTCCCCCCCCGTGGATGGCAGTCTCTCTGGGAAAAAAGACCTGAGTTTTAGGAAATGAGAATTGTAATAGTGTCAAGCAAACCTTCCAGTTTTTAATGCTGTTGTACAATAAACTTCTGTTGTATGTATCTTTGTACCCAATAGAAATGCAACATGTACCTGTTGTTTGTCTTCCTTTTTTGTCACCCGTTTTGATACTATGAGAATTTGATAAGCAGTGGATGCTTCCACCCCTCCTTCCAGGTCCTGCTACTATATGCTGCCTGGAAGGGAGGGGAGGGAAGCTGTACAGGCCCAGCCAAGGCCCAAAGGTCTCCCCAGCTAAAGAAACAGACATCTCTATGGGCAGCAGCGATATAGGAAGAAGTGGGAGGCAAATGATTGTTTTTGTCACAACAAGCAAAGGCATCTTATAATGAGAAAACAATGATAAATAAAGCCTGCAGTTTTACCAATTTGGCTTAGTATAAACCAGAAAACAATCTGTCATTATCAAATTGATGATTTTTTCATTGTAACAAATAAACATATTCTTAAAACCAAAATAATGTCTAGGTGCATGCTAGACAGAAATCAAAATGGCTATATTGATACAAAGAGGTGGAAAAGTGCAGTTATAATAGCAAAAACATGGACTGGGTAGACTGGGACAGATTGCAAACTGCTCATGTGCAACTTCCCAATCGGACTAAAGCAAAAGAATAAAGATTACTACTTTCCACAAACGCTCTCGAGCATATAAATGCCATTTTCAAAGGCAACATCAGGAATCGCTTTGAGTCCCAATTCATTGATGTGTAACCAGAGGAACCACGGAAGGGTATCAAATAACGTGAATGTGAAAATAGAGTGCTAAAGTTGAAGAAACAAGGCACACTGGATGTCAGAACAAACTGGAAATTGTCAAGAAAAAAAGGCCAAAGCCAAGAAAGATAAAAATCTTAGGAAGAACTTAAGAGTTTGAGAAAGTTGGTAGAAACGACAAGACACAATATTACATCTGTAACAACACTGAAGGTAGAAGCAGACGTGGAAAAAGGTCTTTCAAGAGATCTCTAATTCCAACCTCACATTGGTGTAGGAAAGGACACTGGTGAATGACTGAAAGAAAGATGGGAGCAGCGTATTGAAAAATGCAGAAGGGATGGAGAGGTCCAATTGGGTGGTGAGCACAAAATGGGAGTGATCAGAACCCAACACTGCTGGCCTGAAAGTTTGCCTACCAGTAAAGAGGGGAAAGAAAAGAACTAAAACACATCAAGGAAACCCCCAGAACTTGTAGCTATTCCAACTGGGCCTTCATCAGATCCAGAAAAGGAGCCAGCAGGAGCACCTACATAACAGACAAAGAGGAAAACAACAAATGAAGCAATGTTGTTATGGTGCAGAAATATCTGAAAAACTCAGGAAGATTTTCAACCAACACAACATATGTTAGAGCTGGAAGGGACCTTGATGGTCTTCATCCAGCCCCCTGCTCAAGCAGGAGAACCTATACCATCTCAGACAAGTGATTGTTTAGTCCAGTGTTTCTCAACCTTGACAATTTTAAGGCATGTGGACTTCAACTCCCAGAATTCCATAGCCAGCATTGCTGGCTGTGGAATTCTGGGAGTTGAAGTCCACATGCCTTAAAATTGTCAAGGTTGAGAAACACTGGTTTAGTCTCTTCTTAAAAATCTCCAGTGATGGAGCGCCCACGATTTCTGGAGGCAAGCTGTTCCACTGGTTAATTATCCTCACTGTTAGGAAGTTTCTCCTTAATTCCAGGTTGCTTCTCTCTTTGATCAGTTTCCAACCATTGTTTCTTGTCCTGCCCTCTGGTGCTTTGGAGAATAGTATGACCCCCTCTTCTTCTTTGTGGCAGCCTCTCAAATACTGGAATACTGCTATCATGTTTCTTCTATTTCTTCTTTTCTTTAGCCAAACCCAAATCCTGCAGCCCTTTTTCATACGTTTTAGCCTCCAGGCCGTTGCTCTTCTCTGAATTTTTTTCCAGACTCTCAACATCTTTTTTGGGATATGGTGACCAAAATTGGTTGCAATATTCCAGGTGTGTCCTTACTAGGGTTTTATAAAGCGGTAATAATACTTTGCGTGATCTTGATTCTATGCCCCTGTTTATACAACCCAGGATTGTATTAGCTTTTTTGGCTGCTGCAGCACACAGCTGGCTCATAGTCAAGTGATCATCCATTAGGATTCCAAGGTCCCTCTCAGTTATTATTTTTGAGACAGGTCTCGCACTATTTGTACTTGTACCTTTGATTTTTCCTGCCTAAATATAAAACTTTGCTTTTCTCCACATAGAAATTTTGTTGGATAGGGTCCATTGTTCCAGTTTGTCAAGATCTTTTTGGATCCTGAGTTTGTCTTCTGAAGTATTGGCTACTCCTGTCAGTTTGGTGTCAGGCAGAAGAAGAACATCGTGGCTTCAAAACTTAAGGGACTGGTTTGGACAAAACTCAGCAGCACTTTTCGTGGGGCTGCTGATAAAAACAGGATCACCAACGTCCAACAACGGATATGGCAGAAGAAGAAGAAGGCAGGTCAGGGATATCTACTTAAGGCGATAGAAGCCTTGCTGTCATCTGATTAGACCAGACCAGATGGCGACCCATCATTCTGCATGCCAGCCATTTGCCGACTGGGGGATTCTGGGAATTGAAGTCCACCCATCTTAGAGCTGCCAGGGATGAGAACCGCGCCTTGTGCCAATAGCAAGAGGCGCCCGGCGCCCCTTCAAGCCTTCGGCTGCGGAGGGCGGAGCAGAGGCGCGGCCGGCCCTGGAGCCCACCGCCGGAGCCCACGAGAGCCGCCGGGACGCCTGGGCCGGTCGGCTCCGACTCGGCGCTCCAGCGGCGAGGGTCGAAGGGCTCGGGCGGGAGGGCAGCCCGCCTGAACCGGGCGGAGGGGCGTCGCGTCCGGCCCCAGCCCAGCCTGCGGCGCTCGCGGTAGCCCCTCGCGAGGGAGAGGCGGCAGCTCGCCGAGGGACTCCCAGGCTCGGCGCCAGAGAGGTTCTCTTTGTTATTCCGGGGTGGTGGGGGGGCTTCCTCCGCTCCAGACGCCCCGCCGACCGGAGAGCCTCAGCCGGACGCGGCTCTGCCGGCGCCCGCCTGGACGGCCTTGCGGGAGCCTCAGGGCGCTTCCCTCCGCTCCGCCCGCGCCCTGCCTGCCGAGGCCGAGCCGGCGCCCCCGGCTACGCTGCCCTCGCCCGACCAGCGCGCCACGGAGGCGGCGGAGTCGCCGGGCGGACGGCAGCAGGGAGGCCGGGCTCCGCGTTTCGGACGGCCGGGAGAAGCGGCTGGAGGGACAGAGCCGGCCGGGAGGGTCGCGCGCCGCGGGGCCTCTCGGGGAAGCCGACGGGGCTGCGGGTTGCCCCTGACGGGGTCGCTGGCCTCCCCGGAGCGGGAGCGGCTTGACCCCGACCCGGCGCCGCGGACGGGGCCTCGCCGCCTCGGATCTCCGGCCGGCCGGCCGGATAGGGGCCGCCGGCCCGGGGAGCAGCTGGGGGGTCTCGGCGGGCAGGCAGGAAGGGACCGCGCGGGTTCCACTTCCACATTGGGGGGGGCGCCGCCCGTGGATTCCTCCGGGACTTTCCAAAGCGCCGCCCGCCCTCCTTTCGTTGCGGCAAGAAAAAGAAAAAAAACGGGGGACCAACTGGGGAAGTCCGGGAAGGTTCAGGTGGGACGCGAGGCTGCGAAAGAGATTAAGGGCAGGAGGGCTCGCGCCCACCCGGAACGGTCCCCCCCCCGGGCCCGCTCTCTTTCGGGGACGAAATGGGCTGGGTGAGCCCGTTAGCCAGGCGCGGCTTCCGAGGCTCCTGCATGCTCTCCAAGGAAACAGATGGAGGCAGGAAGATCTTTTTATTACAATTTGAACGCTCTGACTAAAACGGATTCCTCTCATTCTAAGAGGGAACCCCGAGACCAGCTTTCGGTCCCTTTTTTTAATCAAAGAAAATGCAGGAGAAAAGTTGATTGGACAGGGCAAAACTAACCCTTCTTTTGCATAGTAAATCAGTTACATAGAATTAAACACATACATGTGACAACATGTATGTCCATTTAAATGAGGTCTGACGAAATTTGCCTGGGCGTAAAATTTAAGATGTTAATGAGGAAAAGTCATAAATGTGTTTGGAGTTCACAGAGAGTGAAACCAGATGTACTGGAGAGAAACCAGACAAACTCCAGACATCCCATCCTATTCTGATCTGGGGAATAAAGACTGTTTTTTAATCTGGAAGTTTAGGAATGTTAGACGTTATCATTCAAACCATTAATATCATTTAAAAGGAGAGAAAAATAAGTCAAATGAAAATTCAAAATAATTAAGTTAGCAAGTACAATACTACAAAGTCAATGTTGGTTCTACAAAATCCATCCTGTATGACCATCAGCCCAAAACCTGAACTACTGTATCCAAATCCTGGCTATGGCTGGTGAGAAAGAGGCCCTGCCCCAGATTTAGGTGTCCTGCTGCCCTGGAGAAATGATCAGGTCGAAGGAGGAGGGCAGGATGGAGGTAAAGAAGCTATTTAACCTGCCATGCAAACCCTCCCAGCCGTGTTTGCCACATGCTCCCTCCCATAAAATTCTATAAAGGGAGGTGGCTGGAACCAGTCTTAAGGCTTGCTTCAATGAGATGGGCTGCATATAAATTTAATAAATCAAGAAATAAGTTAGATGATGCTGAAAGGGGGGATGTGAACGAGAGTCCAGCTAGACCAGTGGTTCTCAACCTTTTTAATGCCGCGACCCCAACCGGTCGTAAGTCAAGGACTACTCAACCGGTCGTAAGTTGAGGACTACTCAACTGGTGCAGCACCGTTTGCAGAATGGGACTTTTGGCGGGCTCAGCAGGGCAGAGACAGCCTGGACAATTCCTATTGGCTTTTGAAAGCCAATAGAATTAGACTCTATTCAAGAGAGTCTATTCTATTGGCTTTCAAAAGCCAATAGAATAAAAGGGAGTAGCACAGCTAAGGAAAAGGGGGAAATAATGGCGGACTGCGTTGTTTGGCGACCCCCGTGAAATGGTCGTTCGACCCCAAATGGGGTCCCGACCCACAGGTTGAGAACCACTGAGCTAGACATAACAACACTGAACCTAGCCTGAGAAACAAGGTTATTGTAACCAGAGCTGATAAGGAATTGGTGGGCTGGAGAACTGGAGAGGAAGCCCGGGCTTCAAGCTAATTGGGGAATGTGATTTATGACTGTTAATTGGAGAAGGGAATTGTGCTTTGATACTATGTGCTCAGGGGAAGGGAATCCAGGTTTTGGCTTTGATTATGCCAGTGCCGATGTTAGGCTACTCAAAATAAAGATTCTTTAAGGTAAACAATGCCTCGAAGTTCTTTGAAGAATTTCATCTGTCGGAACCATGACAGCTTGCTCTTCTCTTGCAGGGGGGTGGTTGAGAGGGAGGCCCCACGATGGAGGAGAGGAAGAAGAAGAGCCCCAAGGCTCACCTGGGCCAGCCGGGCCCTGCAAGCGCGCTGCGCAAGCTGCCTGTTCCGGCCAGCAAGAGTGCCTCTTTCTCGCTGGGGACGCCACACCTCCCATCTCCGAGGCCAAGAGCCAAGTTTAAGAGGTCAGCAGGAGGACGGGACAGAGCGGGCCTCTGAGGGCAGGCAAGGCCTAAGGGCGCCAGGCCAGGCCAGGGGCTCGGGCAGGGCTGACAGACTTTCAGGTAGGGCCGGTGGAATCTGAGCCTCACGTGGATGGAAGATTCGTTTATTTTCAGTTGCCGCTCCAGCCCTTGTCAGAAGCTGTCTCAGAGCATCATAAAGCATTTGAACCAACCCTGGGAAATGAAAATTACAACAAAAGGCAACAGGAAAAAGAATTTGGCTATTAAAAAAGCAATAATAAGAAGCAGTATTAGAAATATTTCTACTGGGGGCAGCCTGCGGCAGGAATCTGAGCTCAGAAACATAGCAGAATCAGAGCTGGGATGAAACTTCAGAGTTGTGACAAAACCTCTCAGAAACCAATAAAAAACGGCTCCTGTCTTGCCGCTAAGAAAACTTCACAGTCATGTTGATAAGGAGACCATCTTGAGGAGACTTTATTTATTAAACAGAGAGCTGAGCCCACATGTATCCTTCCTCACAAAAGTGTTTACGATACCCAAAGGAGCTCTATTCGCTTTTTAAATGGTTTTGTGACTCACGCGTGAGTTCTTGGCTTAGGGACACCAGCATAGTTTGCTTTGGATCTCATTGAGCGATCCGTGGTTAGACATCTCATCCTGTGGTGGTGGGTTTGAGTCAAGGGTCTTTGATGGGCCCCTCAGCTCAGTTAAGGTAGTTCTTTCACATCTTCCTTGCGTTGTACAACTACAATTCAGTAAAAGAAATAGGGCCGGTCGGGTCCAGCCCTCTTCACACAGCTTGTAGTTCTCAAGCTAGCTTCCTTTCTGAGTTTGCACAGTTAACCGTAAGTCACAAAAAACTATTCAGACTTATAACCAGCTAAGCCTAGGTTTGTGCAAATGCAGGTACGTAGGTATGTGGAGGGACCACCGCATCGATGGGGCAGGGTTGTGGGAGAGTGGGTGGGAAGAAGAGGCTCAGCCAGCAGTACAAAGCACCCCATCAGAGGATATTTAAAGGGCTGCCCAAATGCCAGTCCTTGCAGATCGCCCTCCAGGCAATGCCAAAACCTTTCTGCAGGGGAGAAGAGCTGCTGTGCTGGCCGGCCGGACGCTTGGCCGATCCTGGGGGAGAGCCTGCCTTTCTCTTGGAGGCTGGCTGGTTTCCTGCCATTGTTCACCTCTCCTTATTTTCCGTTGCAGAGCAAGCAAGGAGGCGTCACGAGTCCCACAGCTTGGGGGCAATGCGGGGTCCGTGGTGGGCACCCCCCTGCAGCATTCGTTCCTGACCGACGTCTCTGATGTGTATGAGATGGAAGGAGGTCTCCTTAACCTGCTGAATGATTTCCACTCAGGGAAGCTTCAAGCTTTCGGTAACATCTTTAATGCTGGGATATCTCTAGACTGTATTACGCTGGGCAGAGAGAGTTGAGGCGAGTTCAGATCCTGGGTTATCACTAATCTCTGGCTAATCCTTTTCTTAACCCGACTTCCATGGAAGAGGTTTCTTGAGCAACCTATTAATCCATTTTTATTAGGATTTCATTTATTCATGACATCACAATTTTTACTCTGTGCTTTTTGACGAAAAAGCCTCTCTCTTGTGTTGAATCTTGCATCTGCTTGTCAGTCCCTGGCCACCGCTGCCCACATCCTTGGCTAGAAGCATTTCTGTCTCAAAGGGCTCCGTCGTCAACCCACTTATCTACATGGAGGAAGGTTGTCCTGTCTTGCTGCAACAATTAATATTCCCCACACTTGACAGGGATAGAATAATTGTCCCAGTATCAGCTCATTTGATTTTCCCCAGAAGATGTGGCAGAGACGCTTTGCTTAGCAACTTAATGTATGGATTAATTATATATGGAATGTACATAAGCTCCACTTATGGGGTGTGTGTGTGAAATTTCAGTGAAGTGCAAGGTTTATGTTCCTTTGATACAGTGGTTTTGGGCTTCTAAGGCAGCATTTCCAACCCTCGGCAATCATGCTGGCAGGGCATTCAGAGAGTTAAAATCCACACATCTTCAAGCTGCCAAGGCTGAGAATCACTGTTGTAAGGATTTCAATAATAGATATAGTTTGAGTTTTTACCAACTGTGATGCTTTTGATTTGGAAGAAATTATAATGATCTGTTTAACACACCATGCCTGGTCTGGAGATGATTGTTGAGTTGGTTAGGACTATCATGCCGTTAGCCATAAACACCAGCAGATCCATTAGCCCAGTGTACCTTGCCCAAACAGAACCCAAGCTAGAAAAGTAGATTAAAATGTCTTAATGATGTACACAAGTAAGGAGAGGCACCTCACCCAAGAGAGGAGAGAAGTAGTTTAGAAAATAGAAAATCTCTTTATATACAGTTCAAACCTATTGGGTCTGGAACGAGTTCTTTCATTGGTTAGCATCATTTGACATATCTCTGATGTAGCACACATGTCTTTAGTATATAGGATGTAATATCCTCATAGCATTCCATAATATTAATATGATTTTGTTAATGCACATCCTCATATTCAGGAGGTTTTACATTATAATGAGGCGTGGAGAAGATTACAAGTAACTATAGTTCAAGTCAGGGTCCCCGACAGGTTTTGAACCAGTTTTCTTACCAGGCTGTACAGAGCTTTCTTTGTTTCTTCCAGGACCAGAAACATTAATCAAAGAAACTTCTAGTTGCTGGAAACATTAATCAATGCTACTGCTGCTGCCGCCATTAATTCCTTTTTGGTAAGGCCCGCAGAGTAAATCTTTTCTTTTTTCCCCCCGTTTGGCTCGACTTTGCTCTGCTCCCCTGTCCTGGTCTGGGCCTGCAGGCAGAGAATGTTCTTTTGAGCAGCTGGAGCACGTCCGGGAAATGCAGGAGAAACTTGCCCGCCTGCACTTCGGCCTGGATGTCTACGTGGAGGAACTTGTGGAAGATCAGAAGAAAACTGTGGCTGACAGGAATCTGGACCAGCTGCTGACCAACGTGAGTGTCCCAAGCAATTGCCTTCTTCTCTTCTTCAAAGGACTCCCCCTTTCCCGTCCTCCTCCTTTCTTCAGCTGGGGATTAAAATAAGTTGCACGGTTCAGGATGACTGCTGGGCTTGATGGGGAGAGCAATTTGAAGTGTCCTGGAAAGGTGGAAGGGGACACAGCAGGCGAGGCTGGAGGGAGGGCTGTGCCTCTTGCGTATGTTCACAATGCTTTTTTTTTTTGCTTTTTTCATTTGTTTTTGCAGCTGGAAGAACTCAGCAATTCCATGTATCCTTTTTGTAGGGCCCAATGTGGTTTTCCTAGCAAATTGATCCGGGGGGGGGGGGTTGGGCAGGAGAGGAAAAGGGATGTGAACGGGGTGCTGTTTCAGAGAAGAAGTAGACGGTGTGGGTGTGGATGTACACTTCCAGGTTCCTCAGTGTTAATGTTACATGCTGCAGATTTAGTTCAGAGTTGCAATCTAAACTAAGTCAACATGGCTGATGTTCATAACAATATTATATTTCATAGGTTGAACAATGGCAGAGATGTCCCTGGGTGGATGGGGGCTATAAAAGTCAAGATCAACATTTCTCAATCTTGGCAACTTTAAGATGGTGAACTTCAACTCCCAGAATTCCCCATCTAGAAATGCACCCATCTTAAAGTTCCAAGATTGAGAAAAGTTAGTCAAGACAAAGACTGCAGCTGCACGATTGAAGCCTTGGCTTTTTGTTTACATGTATTGCATCTGTAAAAAAGGGGTGGGAGGCTGCCATCTTGGCTTTTTTTGCCCCCTGAGATGCAACTTTGCAACATGATTAGCCAGGATTCCTTCTGTTGGTCATTTGGACTGAGTCCGATAGGAGCTGAAGTCCAAAACTTCAGGAAGGCAGCTGGTCTATCCAGGCTATAGAAGTTCGGAGAAAGGGCCAGGAGAAACGGCTGTTCTCCTACTCCTACTACTCATTTCTTAACCCTTCACCTTAGACAAAAGCTTCACCTGGCTGAAAATCCTGATGTGGAAGAAGCACCCAACACCTAGAAAAGGCATCGGGAAGGGCCAGGCCGGCCCTCTTGTGGCCCTTCTGAATGGGCCTCGAGAAAGATGTCCCACAAGGATGTCTGGCAGGCAACTGCATCTGAATTGTGTTTGTTGAAAGGTTAGGGGCTGCCAGATGGAAAGAGGCAGAGACACGCAAGCAGGAGGCAGAAAGCTCAAGGGACAAGAGCCTGTTCTGCATGGCTACCAAACAGAAAGAGAAGCAAGGAAGGCAAAGGAGAGGGACCGGCCAGGATGCTGATCCTCCATGTTGGAGCCCCGAGTCGAGCTGAGAGACCCTCTTTTGCTTAGGTGTGGCAAGAGAAGGAGGCTTCTGGTTTCCTTCCTCTTGCAGTGTCGCTCCAGGTGCCATAATGGACAAACCTCTCCGGAAATTTGTGATGAGCAGCAGACGTAACACCAATGGCGGCCCTTTGTTCTCGCTCCTCCTGCTATGTGAGCTGGGCACCTCTCATTTTAAATAGTTTTGTTTTTGTAAGGCTGCACGAGTTTGATCTCCTGCATCCTGTGCCTGCTCTGCACATGGCATTAGTCTGAGAGCTATATATTATTCTTTCCTAAGACTACAGTTAGTATATTAGGGGTGGGACAATTGCTTTGGGGAGAGTTTGGAAAAAGCCCCTATTATTCATGATAATCCTTTTATGTTCCTCCTTTTCCACTTGGATCTACAGCTGTGAACAGATGAATTCTGACAGCATCGAACATGAAAGCGACTGGGGAACCTTTGTGCTGAGAGGGTTCCTGACAACCTGATCTATCCCTGCACTCCCACATCACCTCCATTTCCCTGGCTGGGGATGTGCAGAAGAAGGAACAGACCGAGCTGCTTGGTTTGCCTGCCACAGGCTGTCAAATCAGGAAAGCCCCTTTGGCCGGGAGCCACCACAAAACCAGAGAGATAGAGAGACCTTCTGCTCAGCAGGGGGAAGTGGGGAATTCCGTCCTGAAAACTACTTGGATCGACTAACCTATTTCCAGGCTTTGTCTGTTGCTGGAATTGGGGGCATTTTTTCCTTTGTAAGCAATTCCAGAGAGAAGAGCCCTGTGTTAACTTGAGTTCCCTCCCAAATGCAGACTCTGTGAACCATCAATGTGGTGCTGAGAGTGTTAAGCCACAACCTGAATCACTTACATAAAAGAAAAAACATTCTGAAATTTCATTCTGTTTTATGGTTTTATTGAACAGGAGGGTGCTGCTCATTCTGAGACTTCCTTGGGAACTATGGTCCTTTCATGACTTGTGGACCAACTCCCAGAATTCTTGAGCCAGCCGTGATAGACATCAACTTCCAAAATTTCTAAGACAGCTATGCTGGATCAGGGATTCTGGGAGTTGAAGTCCAGAAGTCATAAAGGAACCATAGTTCCCCTCCGTTGTCGACTAAAGCTTTAGCAGCGGCGTTTGATCCTTTCTCTGCTTTTATGGGCTCGGGTCGTCGGCGGGGGTGGTGGTGGTGGTGGGAGAGGGAGGAGCGATAAGGCTCGGCCGGCGTTGGAGCGTGGCTTGGGGGAATTCTGGCAGTTAAAATCCGCCCATTTTAGAGCCGCCGAGCGTCGCGGAGTGACGACGTCATATGCAGCCGAGCAGAGACCGGAAGTGGGCGTCGCACACCTGGCTGAGAGGATCGGTCCCTCGAGCGCCCCCATTTTAGCCCGAAGAACCTGGCCAATCAGAGTGGGGGTCGGGCAGACAATCTTTGTGTGGACCCCCGATGGGAATGATGGGACCTGGAACTCTGCGCAGCTGGAAAACGGACCGAGCCGCCGGCCGTGTAAGGGAAGGAGGGGGGCGTGGCGCGAGTCGCTCTTCGCTGACGTCACCAGGGGACGCGGTCGCCGAGGCTGGCCGGAGGATGCGGGCGGCGGCGGCAGCGATGCGGCTGCAGGTAGGCGGCAGGCGGGCTGGCGGCTCGGACGAGGGCCGGGGTCGAGGGCCGGGGTCGGTGGGTAGAAGCCCCGGCCGGAGGCGTAGAGAGGGAGGAACGCGGGGCGGAAAGTGGCTGGGAAGGAGCCTCGGGGCTGCCCTTGGCCCGGGGGGCCTCCTGCCCTCCCCTGCTTCGCCCTGCAGAGGGAAATCTGGGGAAGAGTCACAGGCAGTCCTCGACTTAACAACCATTCGTTTAGTGACCGTTCGAAGGTGCAACAGCACTGAAACTTAGGATCGTTTTTCGCATTTACGACGGCATGATCACGTGACGAAAATCCGGTCGCTTGGCAACTAAGGTGATCACATGATTCCCACTTGGCGACCTTCTGACCAGCGAAGTGGGGGGTTCACATAACAGCCATCTTACTACGAGTTTAACAACTGCAGTGATTCACTTAACGAGGATGGCAGAAAAAGTTGTAAAACGGGGCAGAACTCATTGACTTGCTTAGAAACAGAGATTTGGGGCTCAGCTGTGATTGTAAGTCGAGGACTGCTTGTAGTAGAAAGGGCGAGAGGTTAAAAGATTCAGATAAATGTAATAAAAGGGTCTGGGCTCCCCTGGTCTTCCTTCCTCACCTTCATTGTTTAAGAATTGGGCCTGGGAATTGGGATGGGCACAAGTAAGCGCCGCCTTCACCCCCCCTGTCAAATGGCGGCTGGACGAACAAGATGTAAGGGATAAAAATCACCTGTTAAACCTCTACCTATCAAACCCTGCATTACTGGAGAAACTTGGTCTGTGCTGCCTTGTTCTATGCCAGCATCGGTCACTTCTGTCCAGCTGTGATGGTGCTTTTAACTGTTTGTTCCCTTTTAGGCTGTTGTCAGGGGCTATTTGACCAGGAAAAGGCTTCAAAGCCTAAGGAGTAAGTATGAGAGCATCGTCAAGGAAATTGAAGGGGACTTGGACTGGGTCCAGTGGACTGGCCATCTCTTCCCAAGACCAGAGTTTCTCTCAAAGGTATGACTGTTGATAGGTTCAGCTCTTAGCAAAAGCAGCAGTATCGATCCTTGTTTGCTGAATTCCTCCAGAGGGGAATTAAAGGCCTAGTAGTTAAGACATCAGCTAGAAACCAGAAGGCTGTGAGTTCTGTTTCTACCTTAAGCATGAAAACCATCTCGATCAGCAACCTTTGCAGCTTGGTGGCCCAGCGGGGGGGGGGGTGGGAGAGGGGAACTGGGCTGTATGAGCAGTGGGCCAGCACGCACATGCCCGCAGCTTGACTTGCACTTATCCCTCAATTAGGAATTAATAAATGCAATTTTTCCTTCTGCTTTGCAAGTATGTTTCCTCCATATAGAGATGAACTTCATGCGTGTTTGTTGTTACAAAACTAACAGTCTGGTGACATTCGGTATATCCATTTGTATATCATATAAATGTTTGATTTTTGTGTGATGTGTAGTAGGATGTGCAGTGCTCTATGCAACACAGACCTGCACATTCAACTAGAAAGTGTCTTGCTCTGTAAATAATGATCTTTCCCTTTTTAAAGGTAATCTTTTTTATTATTTTTTATTATTGTTTTGTTTTATATTAATGAACTTTATTTTTATATTTTATTTATAGTCTGCCCAGAAATCAATGAAGGAATTCAACAGAGAAGAGGTTAAAGCTGACAAGCCACAAAAACAGGACGCACAATATCATCAAGAGGTGTCACAGTCTAAACAAATGTGTGATTTTGAGATGCAGTTTCCAAACCGACTTCTGGCTGAGGTGGCAGCTGAACCCAAGATCGAGGAGGTAGGACAGAGTCTGGGGCAAGCCGTGGAGGCTCGCCCTGGGAACGTCTGCAGCCTGCCAGGAGAGAAGGAGGAAGGGGAGCCCAGCAGTGCCTCATCTGACTGGAGCAGCACAATTCTGGGGACGGAGTCTCCCCGGATGAGCCAAGGTAAGATAGGCGCTGGAGGAACCCTGGACTTTGGTAAATGGGGCAGGTGGTTACTACATCTGCTCATCCAAGTCCCTGGATACCATCAATCTTCAAACAACTTTACAGAAGCAACATTTGTGTGTGTGTGTGTGTGTGTGTGTGTGTGCGCGCGTGCCTTGCCCGGCTTGAGGAGAGGGAATCCTGTTTCTGACTGCCTCGTTCTTTTCTTCTCCAGAGTCTCATTTCCCCAAAGCACCAGAAATGCCCAGAGGGATGCCTGGTCTGCAGAACTACCGCAAGCACCTGGCCATGGAACTGCTCTGGCTGCAGCAGGCAATTGCCAGCCGTAAGAATGTAAGGATGCTGCCTTGGGGTCGCTTGCCGGCCTTTTGTCTTGGGGAGCAGCCATAACCCAAATGCCGGCTGGTCTGGCACAGTTCTGTGGTCACCGCTTCTTCCGTAAACTGATAGGTGCCAATGGGAGGAGAGGTAGCTCAGCCTTGTCCCGGGCTTGGGCAAAAGCAGGTGGCCTTGGCAGGATTCCCTCGGGGTATGGAAGAGCGTGCGCCTTTAAAATTCAGAACGGTGCTCGTAGATGCATTGGACGGGTTAAAACTATGAAGGAAAGGGTTTATGGTCTCTTTGGAATACAGCAGTGTTTCTCAACCTTGACAATTTTAAGGCATGTGGACTTCAACTCCCAGAATTCCACAGCCAGCGTTGAAGTCCACATGCCTTAAAATTGTCAAGGTTGAGAAACACTGCTGTATTCCAAAGAGACCATAAACCCTTTCCTTCATAGTTTTAACCCGTCCAATGCATCTACGAGCACCGTTCTGAATTTTAAAGGCGCACGCTCTTATACCCCGAGGGAATCCCTCTTGTAGATTTTGTCTACTTTCATTTCTTTCATTTCCTTTTTGTTACTCTCATCCCTCATAGTATTTGATCCTGAAACAGAGATTGGGGAACCCAGCTTGAGAGCTCACCGGGAGGGCACCTGTGATCTTTTCTCCCTGAACTGGAAGCTCACACGTTCACCTGCTACCTCCAGAAAGGAAGCACGTGGCTGCAAGCAAGGCGTCTGCCGTGTTTCCTTGGAGAGGCCGCATCCTGAAGTCACCATTGAAACTTAACGAAAGTAGCTGTGAAAAGTGGAGACTGCAAAAGCTTTCCAAGGTCGGCAGACTTTGGAATTGCAGTTGCAGAAGTTCCTTTGGGGCATCTTTGGTAGAGCAGTGACAGAATGTCACTTTTCACAGTATTTGCAAAGCTATCAAGTGAAAGCCGTTGCCTGCGTGGGGCCTTGTTTACCTGTCAGTTGCGTTAGAGCAGCTTTGACCAGAAAGTGTTCAATTCCTGGACATTCTTCCCGGGTGTTGTATTGTAGGTGGAACCTTTTTTTTTCTTTGCATCTGCTTTTCGTGGCTACTGACTGTTGGATTATTCTTAAAGTCTTTACTGTGCCGTTGTTTTTGCTGCTTTGTTGGCTTGTTTTTTGAAATTTGGATGCTGTTATTAAATTATTATGAAATTTTGGCCTGTGACTGTAAAATTAGGCAGTACACCACATTTTTCAACTATGGTAGGCAGCATGAACCTGCTAGAGGTATTTCTCAACTTACCATCACAATTGGGGTCAGTCCCGTTGTTAAGCAAGACAGTTGTTAAATAGGTCAAGCCTGATTTTAAGCCTGGTTAAGTTAGTCCCTGCAGTTATTGAATCAGGTGGTTGTTGAGGAAATCCAGCTTCGCCTGTTGACTTTGCTTGTTAGAAAGTTGCAGTTTTACTGAGGGGAATTCTGGGAGTGGAAGTCCAGATATCTTAAAGATGCTGAGGTTGAGAAACATTGCTCTAAATTAAGACAGTAGCAATATTGTAGTGTGATTTTTAGCCAAAGCTCCTCAGGGTGGGTTACATTAGTTCAACAAAAGACAGCCGTGCAAGCTTGGACACTAAAAGTTAGAAAGCAAAAGAAGGCATTTAAAAAGAGAAGCTCTTCAAATGGAACTAGCATCAGAGCCAGGAGTAATAACTTCTTTGGCAGGACTAGTCAGTCTCATAATCTTTAGTTTTTTAAGGGGATTTGGGAAATTGCGGGAACTGCAATGCATATGTTGAATGGTGGGGTCCTGTTGCTTTGTTATACTGATTGTTTTTATTTCCTTCCGAATCCACTTGTCTGTTTCACAATATCTGCAAAACAGATTTGCATTTGAGCTGCTCACCACAATCTCAGAGTCATTTTGTAGCTCTTGCATTTCCACCCTGGTGGCAGCATCTGAAGGGGGGGGGGGCATAAGGCCGTTCATCACGCCTGGGTGGGATGTGAAAAGTCCACTGACAGCGGAAAATGCTCCAATCTGGGTTGAGGGGTTTATTACATTTTTTGCCAAAGAAGTTTCCCTTGATTGGGGCAACCCTGGTTTAAGCCCCAGCATGTGCACTGGATTGAGCTGAGGCAGAAGAGTAGAGAGGAGCATGTGACTGTCTTCGTAGTCCCATCTTTATTACGGCATAACCTCTGATCTCGTGGTTAGAGGAGCTGGCATCTCTGCCTCCAGGACTCTGAAAGAAATGCGAGTTGTGCGCCTGTTGATGGGTGTCCTGCTCTCATTCTAGAAAGAGGCTGTGCATACCTCCACAAAATAGGTGTTTCTGCCACAGACACACCCGAGTCTTTCACCAAACGGAGGGCACTCCCTCTCTCTTTCCTTGTTGAACTGGTACCATGGAAACGGCATAGTTCTCCTCTTAGCAGGCAGCCTGACACGCTCAGAAGAGTGGTGCTTTTCGGCTGCAGAAGCCCCCCAGGTGCCCCTCTGCCAGGGGGCTTTCTCAGATAAGCAGCCTGGGGTCTGCAGCCCAGGAGAGATGGTCTCGGCGACTGTGGCAGTGGCACCCCTTGCCAAGAATGTGGTGGTCTTTCGCAACGGGGACCCCTTTTTCCTCGGCCGGAAATTTGTGGTGAACCAGCGCCGGTTCCTGACCTTCGACGCCTTTTTGAATGAAGTGACCAGCACCATCCAAGCCCCCGTGGCCGTTAGGAGCATCTACACGCCCCGAGGGGGTCATCGCGTCACGGAGCTGAGTGAACTGCAGAACGGCTGCCGATACGTGGCTGCAGGTTTTGAGCGGTTCAAAAGGCTTGAGTAAGTAACTCCTTTCATCTCTGTTGCAGTCTGTTAAGTCAGCAAAGCGGATGAGGGAAAAAATTATGATAGATTTAAACCATTAAAAAGATAAATATATAAGCCATATGAATTATATTGATTAAAAAAAAGTAGATATAAGAGTCATCAAGGGAAAGATGAGAATCTAGAAAAGGAGGCCTAGGAGTTAAAAGACTTTAAGGGAACATAGAAATGAAAATGTAAAAATAAAAGAAATGAAAGTGTATTAGATAACAGAATACCCGATTGAGTTTTGTTTATAATGATGATTATGTTAAAGCACAACGATCATCTGATGAATTTTGAACCTGAGAGTGCTGAATGGTATGGCAGGGTTAATATCCAAGAGCAGCAGAAGTGTACCATTGTTCCGGGCACCCTTGTAGTAACAGTAGAATGAGAGTAGCCCAAATGTCTCTGCAGTGTGAGCACCGGAGGAACACACACACACACACACACACACACACACACACACACACACAGCCAATGGGAGGGAGGAGGGGGAAGGCAGAGAATCTGACCGATTCACTGGCATGAAGGTTTGAGGTGAAGATTCCTAGCGGGTTGTGACTAGGACTGTGAGCCTGTGGATGGGGCAGGGAGAGACCCTTCCAAGGCCTAAAGTTCCAGGGGAAGCCGAGCCAAGCCAAGCCCCAGCCTTTGCCCTAGCGGGGGAACTGAAGCACATTCTCAGCCATTTACCCCCCTTCCTCCTGGCAGTCAGGGACGGGTGAGATCCTTACCTGAGTCAAAGTAGAAGAAGGCAGCCTGAGCAAGCAGAGTGTCGAAGCTCTGGGCTCTTCTCTAGAGCTGGGCGTCTGCTCTGGCCTCCCAGGGAGGACCAGGACCCTTGAATTATGACGACACCAAGCTCACGATGTCACTCTCCAAGCAGCCCTTGCCCTTGTGGGAGTGTCGGAGGGCCACTCTCAGCACCCAGCACATTCAAGCCAGTGTGTAAATTGTGAAGATACGTGGCAGCTTTTCCGGCACGAGATCCGAATGGGCTTTGTTTAAAGGAAGAGAGTCACAGCTGTGTAGAATGGCTGGAGTAGTGCAGAGAAGGCCACCCTGTTGTGGAATTCTTCATAGATCGTGGGACTTCAAGTCCAGAATTTGGAGTTTAAAGAATTCAAAGCCCCAATATTGTGCATTTGGAAAACCAGGTTGGGAAAAGCTTTGGCAGAAAGTCTCTGGCATTTGACTTGAGTTCCTGAGGACAGCTCCTCCCACTCCATCTCATTTGGTTCTTCTATCCCAAGACAAAGAACTGCCTCGAGTCTCTTGCCTGGCTGCACCAGAAGCCTCTGGCTTTGTTTTCAAAAAATGAGAAAAGTTTGAACTTCTGCCCCTTGGACATCCTTCTCCAACTGGCCACCCAAAGCTAAGCAATGTCTGCCACCCAGCCCTCTCTTAGCTGCAATGTGGGATTAATTGCTGTCTTGCTGAGCAGAATTCTTCAGCTGCCCAATTGTTTGAACTTTCAGAAACACTCTTAAAATCACAAGAGTAAGGGCAGTGGGTGGTGGAATTCTGCTTCTTCCTTCCAAGATGCATCATCGCACATGCAGCTCTCCTCCTTTCCAGAGGAGAAGGTGTCCATCCCTCAAGTTTTATTGGGAGGACTGTGAATTAAAGAAGAGTTGAAGGGACAGCACTGTTGTTGATCTTCTCTGGTTGACCATTCCCAAGACCCAGATCACTGTTTTCCAATCGTGGCAGCTTGAAGTAGATGGACTTCAACTCCCAGTATGGCTGGCTGGGAAACTCTGGGAGTTGATGTCCACACATCTTCAAGTTGCTAAGGTTGGAAAACTGACTTAAGAGAAAGAGATTTTTCCCTGTTTCTTCCTTGAAAGGCATCTGGAGCACATACACATGGAAGCGATGGGAGTTGTAATCAAACCCATATCTATGGCAAAGGACATGCTGCCTGTTCCACTGGAAAACGCCTCTTAAGGGTTACTTTGCCACATTCTTTGGCCACTTCCAGAGATGTGAATGTGTTAGCCTGTGGCAACAACCAGGGATTGCGGGATTTGAAGTCTGCAGCATTCATGGGAGAAATAGCTGAATGTAGAAGTAGGAGAGTCTGCTCTGAACTGGAACTCAGAACTGCCCAGCACAATCCCCTGACTCGGCTCGGTGGCTCATTTTCTTCCCAAATCACTTTGTTGACAGTTATCCAAATGCTGGGATGAAGCAGCTGAACAAGCACCAGAAAAAAAATGGAGCCCAGGTGAGTAAGTGGTTGTGGGTGGACCAAATGCAGAAGGCTCAACTGCCAGGAGAAGTTTTTGGTCCAGAGGCCTTCTGCCTATTTCAAAGCTTTGTATTGTGCACCAAATATAATAAAAGCAACCTAAAAGAGGGAGTTCTGCCTAAGGAGATGGGCAAGCCAGGATCTTCTAAGGCCTTGAGCCTGTTGGGCTTGGACTTTGGAGCCGGCTGGGGAATTCTGGGAGTTGAAGTCCATGCACCTTCGAGGTGCTCAGATTAAGAAACACAGTGGTAGAACCTACAAAGGACAGATAATGGTGTGTGATGGTTGCTGCTGTTGATGACGACGATGTTTTGGCATTCAGAATTATCCAGGTATGCCTCAGAAGGTGATGGTTACGGCAGGATGGAAGCGGCAGACGAACCTTCCTTGTGTTATCCAGTGAGTGACTCTCCTGTCCTTGGAAATTCTCTCTCGGATTAGTGAAGGAAGAAATGAGGAAGCTCAGAGAAGGAGGCGACGGGATTTGGCGTAGAGGTTAAGGTAGCAGACTAGAAACCAGGAGGCGGTGAAGTCTCGCCTTAGCCGTGAAAAGGGCTAGCCTGATGATATCACAGCAAAATACGAGGAGGAAAGGCTATTAGGTATGTTAGGCCTTGAAATTAAATTATTTAAAAAAATAATAATAAAAATCAAATAAACGACTAACTAAAGGCAGAATTGGCATAGTTCTTTGTCTCTGAAGTTTATTCAATTTATATCTCCAGGACCTACATCCTTAGTGCCCCCAACAGCCCTGGAAAGAGGCAGTCCTGAGGGGGGGGCTGTCCTCGGCCAACTCTTTCTTCCCAGTCTTAATCCAGCCCTAAAACCTTTCCTGACCAAAAAAAAAGAGATGAGCAAAGCGATTGGGAAATAAAGGGGAGGTTACAAACAAGGGACCAAACCCCTCCTCCAAGTAAAATCCTGCCAGAATCCTGAGCTAGTTAGCACCGTGAAGTATAAATTCAAATAAACAAAAACCCAGAGAAGACTGGAAATTCTCTCTGCCTGTGGTGGAGCCCAGAAATTCCTTCGTGCCCCATTGGCATAATTTTAGGGAGTCCAGGTCCTCGCATATCTGAATGAGGGAGACGGGAGTAGTTGGGAGTCTTCCCCCAGGAAGCTCTGCAGGGAAGGAAGCCGGCGTCTCTGCTTCTGCCGTTCCAGTGTTTTCCGCAACGGAGACTTGCTGAGCCCCCCCTTCCGAATGGTGCTGGCCAGGGGCGCCCTGCAGGAATGGGGCACCGTCCTTGGCCGCTTGTCAGAAAAGGCCAACCTGCGCTCGGGAGCGGTGAAAAAGTGAGTCTTGTCTGCATTTTTTACCATCCTTTTCTATTTCTTTGGGGGTGGGGTGGGGGGTGGAAATCAAAGGCTCTGCCGTCCCTTTGCTACCCCAGAACTAGGCTACTCCAGCCCCCCAAGGCCTCCTGGGGGTCTCTCTGCACTGGGGCCCTGCCCTGAGCCCTGGCTCCAGAGGACCGGAGGGACCTTGTCTGGGGGGGGCATTGTTAGGGGGAGTTCTGTGCTCAGGGAGGTTGCTTCACGATAGTGTGCGATAGCTGAGAGCTTTCTCTGCCAAAAAGCAGCTCAGCTTTGCTTACTTAGTTTTATCCCGGCTTTACTATTTTTATAAATAACTCAAGGCAGGGAACGTATCCAACACACCTGCCTCCTCCAGTTTTCCCTACCACAACTACCCTGTGAGGTGGGCTGGGCTGAAGAGAGAGGGGCTGGCCCAAAGTCCCCCAGCTGGCTTTCATTGCTGAGAAAGAACTTGAACCACTTTCTAGTCTGGTGCCTTAACCGCTAAACCAAACCGGCTCTATTTATACTGCTTTAACTGTCATAACTTCAAATTAAATAAGGACTGAGAGTCTGAGAAAGGAATCTCAGTTTTAGGGAAGGGGAAATCCTGTAAACAATCTTTCTTCCAAAGCAGATGCAATTCTTATGAACAGAGTCTCTCTGGATTCCTTTTGCCTATATACTGTTCATGAATGGTACAATATACTTTACTGTGAGAGCAGGCACCTCAGCTGGGGGAGGGGGCTGGGGCAAATTGGACCTGTCCTGCTCCCTCCAAAGCCCAGGGCCAGAGCAGAAGCTTTAGCAACACACCTTCTGGGCTTTAGCAACACACCTTCTTTCCACAAAAGGCTGAGCCAAAACAAAGAAAACCACCAGATGGCTTCATGTTATGTCAGAAATGTGGCTGAACAGGAAACGGGCTCATTAGTGTCACTCATGAGCAGAAGCAGCCATCAGGGCTTTGGTCAACTAGATTTTGCATAAAGGTGGCTGTGGGAGCCAAGTCCACCTGCAAGACCCAGAACAGAGGGGTCATTGGGTTTAGTTATGGGTTTAAGGCAGGACAAGAAGCAATGGTTGGAAACTGATCAAAGAGAGAAGCAACCTGGAATTAAGGAGAAACTTCCTAACAGTGAGGACAATTAACCAGGGTAACAGCTTTGCCTTCAGAAGTTGTGGGTGCACTGGAAGTTTTAAGAAGAGACTGGACAGCCACTTGTCTGAAATGGTCTCCTGCCTGAGCAGGGGGTTGGACTTTCACTAGAAGACCCCCAAGGTCCCTTCTAGCTCTGTTCTGATTGGGTTAGTTCCCTCTTCAGTCTTTAAACAGGAGGAAACTTGTAGAACAGGGCTCCCCGACTTACAACTTTTAAGTCTTGTGGACTTCAACTCCCAGAATTCCCCAGCCAGCCTTGTGTCTTCCTCAGATTCTTCCCCCTTTTCTTGGACCTGTTTCTGCTTTGCTCTTCCAGGCTCTGCAAGCTGAACGGTGACCTCATCTCCCAGGGCGAGGAGCTGGTGAACGGCGAATATTATGTGGCTGTGGGGCCGGAGAAGTACAAAGATTTGCCTTACTTCGAACTACTGGTGCCTCCCAAAATCCCTCTCCGTCCCTTTTGGTAGGCAGCTGAGGTGCCTCTGCTTAGCTCAGCTTTTTCAGTTGGGTGTCAGGTGGTGAAAGATTGATTTAAATGGCAGCCAATCTGGCACATGTCCAAATGGCTGAATCAGTGTGACTGAAATGCAGCAGCGGGCTCCTTTGTGCAGAATACAATCCCTTAGAATAATAATAATAAAAAAGTAGTATTGACTTCATCTGCCCAAACACTTTCTCCAAGTACCTCTGTTCTTCCAATCTTCCTTGTTTAGGAGATGTTGGGGGAGGTCATAACTTGTGTTCTCTGAGGGTGAAATAAGGATTGAACCGTGGTGTCCTTGGTGCTCTCTGAGCTTGGTTCTTTTCTTGCAGATGTTTCATTACACAACTAGATAACATCATCAGTGCTAGAAGGGAGAGGGGTTTGCTGTCTTTTTATACACTAGGAATTGCCAGACAAGCTAACAGTAAGCAACCAGTGTCCCAAAGGTGCTTTTCCAAAAGGCAACTGGACTGTCTTGGTTCTTTTCCTTGAAAACATTTCACTTCTCATCTAAGAAGCTTCCCCAGTTTCAGTTCTTCAGCTTCTTGGACGAGAAGCGAAACGCTTTCCAGGAAAGAACCAAGAAAGTCCAGTTACTTTTTGGAAAAGCAACTTTGGGACAACCATGACCTGGATGATTGAGAATTTCCATAGAATCCAGGGGTAGGCAACCTTGGCTCTTTTATGACTTGTGGACTTCAACTCCCAGAATTCCTGAGTCAGCATGGCTCAGCTTGGAAACCTCTCCCTTTCCCCTCAGCATAGCTGGCTCAGGAATTCTGGGAGTTGAAGTCCAGGAGTCATAAAAGAGCCAAGGTTGCCTACCCCTGCCATACACAAATGAACAACATCAAGGAATTAGCAAGAAGAGAACCATGCTCACAGGGCAAGCCACTAGTATATAAAAAGAGAGCAAACCCCAGCTCAGAGACAGGGTGTGCTGGGCCTACAGACCCTGTGTGTTACGGTAGCCCAGGCTAAGATACTACTGCCATGTAGGTGTTGACGATTTTTACTGTAACATCCATAGTAACAGAACCTTGCAAGTGTGAATACGCTTTCCTCTCCCTTCTTTCAGAAGAACTAGGGAGGATCTTGTCTGAGACACTTTCTCCGGCTACAGTTCTGGCCCATACTTGGGTTTCTGTTATCTGTTATCCCAGTAGCAGCTCTCCTTCCTGTTCCTCACGATTATTCCTTCTGCCCATTACACTGCACAGTATCTCAGTAAGGTAGGAAAAACATCTCTGTGTGGTCTGGATATGAATGTGCTGCTTTTCTACTCATAGGAACTTCTCTACTAACAGAAGAAGGAACTACAATCGGGGGGTAAGTAGCCTTGATGGCTGATTTCCTAAGGCAGCACCTGTGTGAAAAGGAGCAAAGATACTTTGCATCTGGAGAAGAAGTGTAATGTGTAAATGTTCCTATTAGATTTTTTTAGCAACCAGAGTGGGGATCCCCCTCCAAAAAAATAAATGTGCTTCATGGGTTACCTCCCAGCGCGGCAGAAGTGACCAAAACCTGCTGCATCCACCCAGCAGATGTGTACAACATTATTACATTTCACTGGTATTTCTCTAATACAGGGGTTCCCAACCAGGGGTGCGAGACGATATTCCAGGGGGTGCGAAAACTTGGGTTTTCAAAATTATAAGTGTATATGCATAATTTGTTGCCATTATTTCAAACTTTTGTAAGGAGTGCGAGAATATATCAGAAGCGTTCTAGGGGTGCAGAGTGTAGAAAAAGTTGAGAACCTCTGCTCTAATGTCTTACTAGTTTTTGTTTCTGCATTAGTTAAGACCAGAACCAGCAAAATCTTACGATGTCATTTACCTGTTTATTTATTTCTACTCTCTTCTATCCTCTCCAGGTGGCCTCTGAAGACAGAGCCAGCGACTCGGCACTCCTTGAGCCAGTGCAACAGGTAAAGTGAAGCAGCGATTTTGGAGAGCTTAATCTGCCACTTAAATAAAAAAGTTCAGGATTTAATGTTTCATGTTGGCTAAGAGTAGGATTCCATATTCTGAAATACCTCTACATTACATTATATATACATAAAAACACTGAAGTTTCCTGCCATAAAAACCTCATTTTGGGGAAAGTACTGTTTTTTTTTCTCCACCATAAAAGGCTCGGTGTACTAAATTCATGAATATTGTGGGTCCATTTGTGTGCACTGGAAAGCCCAAGCAGTTTAACAAGTTGCCTTGCCTGCATCTTAAGACTTCCAATGGATTGGTAGGAAATAAAGTGGAAATACTATTTCCTAAGACTTCAGAAATGGGCTCTTATCAATATAACCTAAAACCCTTACACCTACGGTACTCCACAGTGCTGATTTGTGTTCAACTTGTAATCAGCAGGAGTTTGTGGGTGTCCAAAAAGTCAAGATAGCAGCTACAATTGCCTAATCAAAGTTCTTTTTAAAAATACAGTGCACATTAAAACAGAGGGGGCAGAACTTTGATTTTTGTAGCCACAGCTGCCCTTTTGACTTTTCCAAATGTCTTGCTTTTTTCTTCTAATACTTTTTATTAAAAGAAGGTTTTACATTGTTAAGTGGGTCGTCACGTGACCAGCTTGATTTTATATTTTTTGTGGCAGTTAATAGAATCGTAATGTTTTTTTAATTGAATCTGTGGTTGGTAAGTGGATCCATTGGCCACAATGGGCATTTTTTTGATGGAAATTGGAAGTAAACATCAGTTTGTGGCAAAAAAAAAAGTCAGTTGTGGTTATGTGACTATGGGATGCTGCAAACAGAAACGCAGGTCAGTTGCTGAGCAACCGAACTACAATCATGTGACTGGGGAAATGGGGCAGCCATTGTAACTTCAAATCTGGGTCCTAGGTACTTGTTTTGGGGCCCATCCTAACTTCAAATGGTTGCTAAGTGGTTGGTCATAAGCTGAGGACTACCTGTAGCAATAATGTAGCCTTTTGCAAACTACGGAGCCTTGTGAAAATCAGACACGCTTCTTTGGGCCTTGTGGATTCGTGGGCCTTAAGATCCCAATGCGCTGGGCCGGATAGAGCACGTGTGGGGAAGCGGCTTCCCATCAAAGGAAGCTTGGATTCCTTGTCCCCCTTCCTGACCTGGCTGGAGCTGAAATCTCACAGCAGAGACTCCCCACTTCCCCAGTTGCTACGGATCCCAAAGCAGGGACCTGCGGCATATTTTCTGCAGGAAATTGATTTTTTTTTCCGCATGGAGAGGGAGGGGGGACTTTGAGAGGATGGAAATAGGAAATGCTGGGGATGTTTGATGATGATTTGAAGTGGCCAGGACTTACATCTGAAAGGCCCTGATGAACATTCCTTGAACTTCCAGATGAAACTTTGGCGGGTCCATTCCACAGGGATTGTGCCTGCAGGAGACCCTCCCCGTCCCTCCGAGTCCAAGCCAGCCAAGAAATACCCTCACCAAGACAAAGTGACATCCGTCTTCCACGCCAAGCCAGGCCAGGTTGGACAAGAGCGCCAGGTCCCTGGCAACTATTTCACCCGAGGTAAAAATAAACGGAAAAGAATGAGCACCTGTGTCTCACCTTAGAGACAGAGTGGGCACTATGACGGGTAAGGGGGCTGTGGTGATAGTGAGCGACTTTGGCCACACTGCCTGTCAAGTCAGCCCCTGGAGGGTATCAGGCTGAGCAACTCCATTGACCAAGGGGAGCATCCAAGGAAATTGGGAGGGATGGGCTGGGTCAGCCAGTCAGGCATTTTTTCCCAGAGGAAGCTGTCAAACAAATGTTAAGCAGGCAGATTGCATATGGGGGAATAATCTTTAATTATTATTAGAACATCTGACAGGCTGAGTTTGCACACAATGACACACTACAATGTGGTTGACTCCTGTGTGGCTTGTGTAGAGCAGATGGTAGCCTCAGGTGTTCTTGGAGAAAGCAACAGAAGGTTTGTATGGGAAGTCCAGGGCTCCCCAAATTCAGAAGACTAGAAAATTCTTGAAGAAGCCGGAATCTCTTGGTGTATGTGAGCTCAGCTCAGTTATGGTGTTAAAGTCACTACTTCATTGTTTTGCGCAGAGGAATTAACAGACACAAGTTTGATTTGGGGCTCAAAACAAAATAATTCAGAGCGTTTCACTCTCCCAGGAGAGTGAACCCCATGACTTGATCCCCATGACTGAGTGAGTGAGAGACTGAAACTTTCTGGATGAATCCCAACAGGGAGGAAACCAACTGGCCAGGCGCTACGTCCTGCTGGTCAGAAAGCAACATGCTGGATAAAGGAGAATATTTGCACCTCCGGGTTGAACTGAAGGCTCCGTGGTGCTCTCTGAGCTCGGTGGGTTTTTTTGCAGACATTTCAGGACCCAACTAGGTACTGTAATATCAGTGCTCTTGGAGCTTGGATGTCAGTGCAACACTGATTGTGTTCCCTAGTCTGGGTCATGAAAACGGCCAAGCTTAGAGAACACCACGATGTACCCTGCATCAAAAGAGGGATGAAAGCTGATTTGTAGCCACCGTCTGGCGCTTTCAAAGCGCAAGGAGGGAAACCACTCTGGGAAGGGCACGTTATTCACCAGGGATCTCGTGTCGCCCTGTCTTTTATTTTTTCTTCAGAAGATGAAAGCGTTTATAAAAGGAGAGGGGCAAGGCAGGAGATGGTGGATGCGCAGGAAATAGGAGAAGACGAAGACACGCAGGTTGAATTGCCGGTGGACCAGGTAAGGAGGGTCTCTCAGGCCATGCGTGAGCAGCCTTTCCCCCCAAAGCAGACTGTAAGACCAGGGGACCTCATCTCCCAGAATTCCCCAGCTAGCATGGACACCCCTGACAGTGAGGGGTGACCTGAAGAGGTTGTGCACAGGAGTTGACCTCGCAATCGGCAGATTTGGACCGCTTTTGCAAGGAAGATTCTTGGGCAAAGATCCTCAAGCCAAGATGTGTCAGGCTGACCCCAAAAGGCTGAATGTTGTCATAAAATCAAAAGGAGCTCCAATGAAGTATTAGTTTAAGGATGTGTACACTCATGCAACCACGTTATTATAAATGTCCATGGGGATTCTCAGCCATCCAGGCCATGGTTGTCCCAAAGGTGCTTTTTGAAAAGGCAATTGGACTTTCTTGGTTTTTGCTTAAAGGCATTTTTCTTCTTGGATGAGAAATAAAACAAGGAAAAACAAAGTCCAAGTTGCCTTTTGAAATCGCACCTTGGGACATATTATTATAAGTTTTTGTATTTTTATTTTTCCCACTAAAAGATTTCAGGTTATTTTTCAATCAAATTGTACTGCTTAATAAGTTATGTCCGGGGTGGCAAACCTATGACATGCCTGCCACAGGTGGCACGCAGACCCCTCTCTGTGGGCACGCATGCCGTCGCCCCAGTCCTAGGATTCAGCTGGATTTTATAAAACCTTTTTGCTTTAGGCCTCCACCACTGTGTGCAAAAAAAAAAAAATTCAATCAATCAATCAATCAATTTCCTTGCGGGAGAAAAAAAGATCTCGCAAAGTTGGAACTTTTGAGTCCCACCCAGTCTGCCGTTACTACTGCAGCCACGCCCACCCACTGGGCCACGGCCACCCAATATTGGGGCCACACCCACCCGGCACTCGACGATGCATAAGTGGGTTTGGGGCTGCAGTTTGGGCACTCAGTCTCTAAAAGGTTCGCCATCACTGGCCTAAGTGGAATTTTCCCCCAATGGGATTTTCCCATGTATTTTACCAGGAAACATAGATAGGGCAGGCTAGAAAAGTCAGTGCCCTCCTAACTATACCCAAGCACTCCAAATTTGTTGGCGGTGTCCATTTTGCTCTATGAGTTCATGGTGACCTAACCCTAACCCTAAGTGGAATTTTCCCCCAATGGGATTTTCCCATGTATTTTACCAGGAAACATAGATAGGGCAGGCTAGAAAAGTCAGTGCCCTCCTGACCATACCCAAGCACTCCGAGTTTGTTGGCGATGTCCATTTTGCTCTATGAGTTCATAGTGACCTAACCCTAACCCTAAGTGGAATTTTCCCCCAATGGGATTTTCCCATGTATTTTACCAGGAAACATAGATAGGGCAGCCTAGAAAAGTCAGTGTCCTCCTAACCATACCCAAGTACTCCAAATTTGTTGGTGATGTCCATTTCGCTCTCCGAGTTCATGGTGACCTAACCTTAACCCTAAGTGGAATTTTCCCCCAATGGGATTTTCCCATATATTTTACCAGGAAACATAGATAGGGCAGGCTAGAAAAGTCAGTGCCCCCCTAACCATACCCAAGCACTCCGAATTTATTGGCAATGTCTATTTTGCTCTATGAGTTCATGGTGACCTAACCCTAACCCTAAGTGGAATTTTCCTCCAATGGGATTTTCCCATGTATTTTACCAGGAAACATAGATAGGGCAGGCTAGAAAAGTCAGTGCCCTCCTAACCATACCCAAGTACTCCAAATTTGTTGGCGATGTCCATTTCGCTCTCTGAGTTCATGGTGACCTAACCCTAACCCTTATGTTAAAGGTGGAAAAAAAATTCTGAAGTGAGTTATCTTGGTTTGATTTTTTATATCTCAAAAATCTGGCATTTTAAATCCACTGCAGACTAACCATAGGAGCTGGATTATCATAGCTAAACCACAGCTACAAACTAAGATTAACACTATCAAAAGCACTAACTGATCTACTTCAGTATACAAATACATCACCCAGAACATGGTCTGTGGGTCAGTATTAATGGGGTGGGTAGCTTAGTAACTTTGGAAAAGACTGTTTGCTTTTATCAAATATGTTTCAGGGGTTTTCTCCCTGAGGAACTGTTTTCTCCAGACCTTTGTCATCTTTGTAGTTAGCTGAGGTCAGATGTTTCCTTTGTCTACTCTGAAGTCACACTAAGTAGAAGTTCCTGCCTGGTAAGAGTGGAGTATTCCCACCTATGCCTTTTTTTTTTTTTTTTTGTTCTGCCGGCTGACCACATCGCCTCGGACGTGGCCTGAGTGCTTGTGCTTTTCCCTTCCCCCCCCTCCAGAAAACTGCAGAGATTGTGGAAGAGGAAGTTATATCAAAGACCAAAGGAGGGCCATCCAAGAAGGTAATTAACTTGCATTGATAAACATTTTAATCTAAGTGCTGGAGAGAAGAAAGAATAATGACATTTATACAACTGATTCATTTTAGTTCACTGCAGTGAATGAATCTATGCATTTATGTAAAAACAAGCCAACTTTTAAAGGAAGTTCAGTCTGTGGGATCTTTGGTGTTCTCTGAGCCCCGTTTTCTGGGAGACATTTCATTGCCCGGCAAGGTAACATCTTCACGGTGTAGAAGGGAGCAGGTGTGGTCCTTGCTCCAGTCCAAGGACTTTAACCCCGAGCTACCCACAGTCTCTTCTACTGAAGTGCAGCCTATTCAGTACAGAACAAAGCGGACATTCCAGCACAAGCTCTTCTCTGGGATTGAGCAGCGATCTGCTTCCATACCATCTCGGTGCTCCTTCCCAGACTGCTCTCAATAGACGTGTTCAACAAACCTTCTGTCTTTTGTCATTCCTTGTACAATGACAAGACTTTCTCCTCTTTGTAGTGCTTATAAGTGAGACAGAAGCTTACTTTGCAGCCAACAAGAAGCTCTCCTGGATCGGAGAAATGACTCAAATGAAACAAGCCCAGCAAGGTTTGCCGGAGGGAACGTTTTGAACCAAGCGTATGGTAGTTTTGTGCAATTTTTGTCTACAGAATTTGTTCTTGCAATAAATGTAGAATCTCTCTGATTTGAAATCCTTATCCGAGACAAGATTCCGGTAAGGGGGAGGGGGGAGAAACAGGCACGGTGACTGAGGGCTGACAACTGTTCCAAGTTTAATTCAGAGGCCACCAATATGGCATCAGGTGAAGAAGGTGCTAACAGATTTTAGATCTTAAGGGCTTGTCATGCAAGCAAATTGGCACTTTTCATAGGTCAAAGGGAGGGAGCAGCAGGAAACCACAGAGGGTCTAGGACTTTTTGCCTCCACCACGTGCTCGCGCCCCCTTCGGCCCCACCCTCCAGCCACAGCCAATTGACAGCGAGCGTCCAGACAAATGGGACTTCACGTGTGCATGTGTGTGCCCTCTGCTCACGCAAATAGAGTTGCACGTGCGAGTACATATGCCTGCTACTTGTGTGGAACCATTTCCTCTCCTCTCTCTCCCCCCCCCCCCCCCGCGCAGGTCTGCAAAGCCAGAAAGGTTGGGGAACACAGTTTTGGGCTTTGTATATCGATTGATTCTTGTGTTTAATATTTTACATATTTTGTTGCCCAAGGTCACTACGATGATATGAGCAGCCATGCAAATTTATGTAAATCAGTGATATGTTAGCTAATTTCTGGCTATGAGGCAGGAAGAAAATGAGTTTTCCTCAGAGTTCAGATGAGGGCAATACAAGAGCACCTTTAATGTTCGGTGTTTTATATACATGATAAATAATAGCAGCAAAAGCATTTTGAAGGAACGAAGGCGTTCTCCAAACGAGTCTTCTCTTTACGATCCTTGGTTTCCTCTTGCAGCTGTTCACCACCACAAGTCCCGTGTCTTTTGCTGAGTCCTCCTTGCAAGTCAGTCAAAAGACCATCTGGATTGACCCGGAAACCTCTGCTTCTTTCTCACCCTTCTTCATGCCGTTACTTCCTTCTACTCTTCCCTTTATATCCCATACTGAGCTGTGGCTCTTTCTCAGCTGGGGCTCCTCCACAAGCATCTACATCATTTCAACAGCTGAAAGACTTCTTCTGTGGACCATTGGCAGCTTAGGAGATGGTCTGCTTGGTCCTGGACAGCAGAAGACCTTCACTGACTGAATCAGTAGCCAAAATGGCACCAGAGTTCTCGGTAATGGAGACGTGGGCCTTCCTGCCCAGATTGCTGAACTCCGCTCTCTTTTGGGATACCAGATTGGGGAGTTCAGTAAATACCGGAGGTATGAATAGAATTTGTAGCTCAAGATTGAACGGTGGAGTCCTTGGTACTCTCTGAGCTGGCTCATTTGCCTGCAGATATTTCCCCACTGGGTAGCATCACCAGCACTAGTGAATGTGTGGTTTGCTCCCTGTTGGTGCATAGTAGCTTGCACTGCCAGTGTTGATGGTGTAGTTTTTCTCCTTGGTAATTCTTTAATTAGGGTACTGTTTTCCGCTTGGTTGCTTGTCTGAGGTTAATACCTACTTATCTGGGTGTTGGCTATTAGTAAAGATGTGTTCTGGTTTGTTCTGGTTAGCCTTTTCTGTTGGCTGAATAAAATATAAATAGGGAGATAAACAAACCTCACAATCACTAGCCCTGATGAGGTAACTTAGTTGAGTAAGGAAAGATCTGCACGTAAACAACCAAAGTCAGACAGCACCAAGGATTCCACACAACTTGGAAGTGATAAAAAATTACCCTCCAAGACTATTCCTTTAGGATAGGAGGAGCAGCTACAGAAGTAGGTGTACTTGCAGATGGATCCATTTCGGCAGCTCCTTTCTTGTAGACCCTCCCAATATGGGCTCATTGAAGATGCTTTGAGATTTTTTTTCTTTTAAAGATTCATGCACACGTAGTCCATTAAATCTTGAGGAAGAAATGGAATGATCTGCATGTGCTCAAGGACCACGTCAAGGCCGCGGTGAGCTTAGCAGGAGTACACCAAAGAAATCTGCAATATGTAAGAGAAAAGTCAAAATTTGGTGGAAAGTGGTAGTTTTGGAATGAACACAGCACCACCTCTGGCAGCTGAGGGATGTAAGGGATACAGTCCAGATAATCAAGAAATGTGGAGATCCGGCAGGCAGCTGTTGCGACCAACAAACTTCGTATATCAGTGACAAAAGAAGCCACTGGGGAGGAGAATGTCCATTCTAGGGCTGTGGCTCCTCTATTCCGATCGGAGCAGAAGTCATGAGAACAGATGATACTCAGCAGGACTGAACAGGCCTAACAGTTGCAAAAAGATGACGCAAAAGTGGTGCTGGGGGAACTTACAGCTATCGGCCTGCATCTACAGCCCTGGTAGCACCATGAGCCACACACCCTGCAGGTTGCGAGGGGTACAGTGTTTGTATTCTGAAGGTGTAGAAATGTTAAATGTGTTAAGGCACCTAATTTTTACCTAATCTTCAAACTTTCTAGCACCTCCAGGTAGGCCGCTTCTCATCCTTGGAGACGCCGTCAAATCATCTCAATGGCAGCTTCTGAAGCAGAAACAAGTGAAACTCCAATATATGCATCCTCCCTGAGGTTGCCTTCTGCTCATCTAAACCATTTTGCTCTGAACTTGGCAACTTTAAGATTTGTGGACATCAACTTCTTGGCTGGCTGAGGAATTCTGGGAGTTGAAGTCTTAAAGTTGCCCAGTTTGGAGAGCCCTGATTTAAACTAAAGCATGTCTGCTTCTGAGTCTGGAGAACTGTGACTCCGCCCTGGGAACATTGCCTATCTTTCCCGCCTTCCTGGCCAGGAGGATATAGTCTATATAAGGATATAGTCCAAAAGACAAAATAATGGCTGGCCAGACCCCTCCGGGAGGAGAAGGAAGAAGAAAACCCCCCAAAAGAGTAGACTGTTCTCCCTGCAGCCCTGGGACAGCAGCTGGGCCCTTACAGCCTTCGGAAGTTGCAGAGGTCTTCATCCCCGTCAATTTTCAGGCCCTGAAGCAGTGGGAAATCCAGCAGGGCTCCGTCCAAGAAAACCGTCTCCTCTTGGAAGCTGGAGGGCGTCGCTCGCTCGGGCTGGTCGCTGTGGAACCATAGGTTCTTGTAGGACTTCGGGCTGGGGCTCAGACTGCGGAGGAGAGGCTGCCTGGAGCTGGAGCGGATGTAGATGGTGGGCGAGGCTTTTTGCTGAAGGTGATAGCTGCCCCCCAGGACCTTGGCATACTGAACAGGCTCTGGGTTATTCATGTAGGAGGTTGGCCCTGAGCCCCCGGTGGGCACAGCTCCTTTGGCTTCGCGGGCACCAGAGTCGGAGAGGGCTACTGGGCTGTCCTCCGTGGCCGGGCCGGGCTCGCTCTTCCCACAGGAGAGGCACTTCTTCTCATCGGCTTCGATCACAAGGAAGGCAGACACGATGACGGGGCTGAGCTCGCACGGCTTGGGGGCCTGCAGGGTCTCCTGTGGGAAGAAGGCAGCAGGAGGAGAAGGGACGATTAAGGACGGCCAGGTGGCCACTAAGGGAAACTAGTCCTGGCTGAGTGCAGATGGGGGGGTTCTGCTGGGGATGATCATTTCTAGCGTCTTCATTTAGAGGTAGACTATCATGGGGCAGGGAGGCTTTACAGGTAGTCCTTGCTTACCGACTGCCTTATTTAGTGACTATCTGAAGTTACAATAGCGGAAAAAAAATAGTTTTGTGACCTGCCCTCATACTCACCTGATGGCCATTTGGGTGCTTCACAGCTAGGTTGCCCCAAGCAAAGTTAACAGAGAATGGAGAAATGAAAGTCAGTTTGATCGAGTGATGAACGTAGCAGGTGAGAAAGTGGGAGATGGGGAGTTCTAGTCCCGCCTTAGCCATGAATGCTGGCTGGGTGACTTTGGGCCAGTCCCTCTCTCTCAGCCCAGCCCACCTCACAAGGTTGCTGTGATGGGGGAAATCGGAGGAGGAAGGAGTCTCAGGTATGCTCCTCACCTTGAATTATTTGTAAAAATAATAAAGGTGGGATACAAACAAACAAATGAATAAAATGTCAGGGCCCCCTCAGAGGCCGGTTCAGAGGAGGAAGGGTTGGAGCTGGGACCGCCCGAAGGGGAAGGCAAGCTGGGGAGACGCCAGTTCTTGCTGAAGCTGAGAACCGCTTGCACTGCATCATGTGGTCATTGTAAGAGTAAAAGGAAAGGACTCCACTTGACCTCCGAGAAAAGGTTGGAGAGAAACGCACAAATAAATGGAAATAAAGCTCCTTTAGCCTATGCAAGCTCTGCTTTGCAACTGATCTGGGCTGTATTTTACCTCCGGATGCCCTTATTATCTCTGTATGCAAAACTCATTAGCACTGAATGATAATCAATGCATTTGGACCCAGTATTTTGTACAAACGCAGCTCAGGTAATTAGTTTGGGGCTCAATGTGTTGTATGAACCCGGAAAAGAGGGTTAATTGAGCTGTCGATCAGGACACATTTTGCAAATCCAGCAAATTAAAATGGGCAGGGTCACTCCTGCAGTGGTGCCGATACATCTGGCTGAGTGGAAGGTTCATAAAGCAGCAGCTGCTGTGGAAGGAAGAGCAGCTGCCTGTCTGTGGCTTCCAGGCTTACCTCCTGCAGAACGGCGGGGGCCCATTTGCCCAGGCTGCTGTTGGCTGGGTCAGGGACGCTGGGCCAGAACTGCATCTTCATCCTGGGGGTGAGTTGGGGAGCGTGGAGGGAGAGAGAAGCACCTGGTTAGTTTGGAGCTCTGATGGCCTGAGAGGAGTCACGCTCTCCTCCTGGATATTGGCCATTCCCTGTTCTGCCCCTGTCTAATATGTGAATTAACGCAACCTCTCAACACAACACATCAACACTGGATATCTGGAACGTGGGTCGTGGAATTTTCTTTCAGGACAAGTAGATACTTAGAAGGGAAATTGTTACACATATATACAACATACAATCTACAACACAAACATACACATAGAATTTTTTTTCTGCTTTGCCTCTGGCCTCCACCCCACTGTCTCTGGCTAAGTCTCTCTGCTATCTCCTGCACTTGCCCATGGGAGTCTAAACTCGGGTGCCAAAGCAACGCTCTGCAGCTTCTGGCTTGTTCCTCCACATACCTTTTGCTCTTCTGAAAGCAGATGACCATGCCAATTATCATGGCCAAGAGCAGCCCAATGACTAAGTACACAATGGTGATGTCCAGGTATTCTGGAAGAGAGAGCAAGGTGTTGGATATGGGTGGATTAGTGGCCATCTTCCACACATCGAACTAAAGTGGAACACTTGTGGGTCCTGTTCAGAGAGAGTGTGCCCAGGGCCAATTGGCTGCATTGTCGTGTCTGCTGCTCCTTGGCCAAAGTAAAGATGAACTAGTACATCATCAAGTGATAATTTGTAGGTGTAAAAAATGGATGTGGAGCTAATTCATGCAGGCAGAATTGTTCCTAAAAGGAAGAAGGAGGTGGTGCAATTTGGCCTTTACACGTAGTCCTTGACTCATGATTCTCCAAGCTTTGCTCGATTTGGAGAACGAGCTGTGAGAATGCTGGAGGTGGCAGCAAATGGCCAAGATTGCGGAAGGCCCCGGGCCTCTACTTCAGGCCCACCTCCAGTGCTGTCACCACCGAGTGCTTCACTGCAGGGGTGGCTGAGGCTTTGCATCTCACTCGGTACTCTCAACTCATATGCGGCTTGTGCTGGACTTCCCAGAGCATCTCCCACACCCCTTGAGATAGCCCCACGCTCCTTACCTGGGACTCTGCTAAACCACCTGTAAGATTATTTAACAACCACAACCAGGAGCGCTTGGAATAGCAGTCGTTGAGAAAAACGGTCATGTAACAATCGCTTTGCTCAAAGACCAAGATACGGTCCCAACTATAGGTGTACGTCAGGGACTACTTGCACCCTTTACACCTCTAGGAAAATCCTGCACTCTCAAAACAGCTTATTGACTTATAAGCCTAATAATTTTTGCTGTCCTTACCCATGTCCTTGGTGGTGATCACAACACTGGTCCCATTGGTGCTCCCAACCATCGTGGAGGCCATGAGATGTAGGCTGTACATTGTTGAAGGCCGAAGACCTGAGATGGTGAGGATGTCTATAGAAGTGTTCACAGCAATACCTGGAGAAAAAGTTGGCAATGCTTTGCTATCGTTTCAGACTGGACAGGTCCAGAAGCCAAAAGGAGGGCAGTAGAATGACTCCTCCTAAAGGTTTTTCTCTCTCTGCTTCTGGTGGCAAGATGTGACATGAACTTTGGACAGCAAAGTCTTGGCAAGGTTAGAGAAACCTGTATCAGTCCAGGAAACCTGTTAAGATCAACTCCTGTCATCTTTAACCATTGGCAGTGCCGTACTGGTTAGTATATTCTAATACATCTAGAAGTCACTATTCTTTCTCTTGTAATATTAATATCCCAAGCAGCAAAAATATTTAGAAGTGCTTGTTTATCTATTTAATTTATATAGTGTCCATCTCACTATCCAGAGATATTCAACACAGGTTTTTACCGTCAAATCAATTATGATAAAAAAGGGTGCACCTCGTCTTTTTCTTGCCCTGTGCTCCAGGTATGCCAAGTGCCCAGGACAAGGGCAGGGTGGGATGTCCGGTATGGTCCCTTGGGACCCCTGCCTCCCCTGTGCTGCTTCCCCAGTGCCCCTCCCTGCAAATCTGGTCTGCCCTATTTCCTGCTCATTAGATTTTTATTTTGGACTCAGTTGCTTCCATCTGTTTTTTCCCTCCTCTAAGTTCGATTTTTGAAAAGAAAGATCCAATTTCTTAAAGATAAATGTTTCCCCTGTCGAGGCGTATCCGACTCTTGGGGCCGTTACTCATTTCCGTTTCTTAGCCAAGGAGCCAGCATTTTCTGAAGAGCCTTTCCATGGTCATCTGTCCAGCACAGCTATGCTGTACTTCGAAGGCAGCCAGAGCGCTGTTAGCTTCCCACCAAAGTGGTAGCGATTTATTTACTCGCATTTGCCTGCTTTCAAAACGCTACGTTGGCAGGAGCTGGGGCAAAGAACAGGAGCTCGCCCCGTTACATGGCACTCGGGTTTCAAACGGGCTGTCAGCTTTCCAGCATCTTAACCGCTGAGCCTTTGCACTCCCTAAGCTCACTTTTTGAAAAGAAAAATCCAATTTTTTTCCTGGTCTTTAAAAGAGGGAGACAAATATATTGCTATCAACTACAGTATGTTGATATGTTGCAAACAATATATTTAGGAAGCAAGTTATACAGAGGGAAATCTTTTGCAACTTCCTCCTTATATTGATCAATACCGGAGGATGTGTAAATTGGTTTAAACCGACTTGGACGGTCTGATTGCATGAAGGATGTTCATCCCTGAAACACTGAGGATTGTCTACTTATTCGTTTGGAGCATATTCTTTGGGTGAATAAATGCCACCTTGACTTGCGCTGAGGATTTCTAAACCATCTGCCTTCTCCCTTTTTCTCTATGCTGCTTGTTATTTGTTCTGAAGACCGATGTGTGGTTTGCAGATTATTGCACAATTCACACAGCCTTAGTTGTCTTGGTGTCAGAGGCTTGGATATAATTTTCTAATGCAGTGGAAAGAGGGCAGGGTGGAGGGAGGAGTTCTGAGTGTATTTCTAAAGAGATATAAACCTATAGAAACAAGAAGCAGCACTGGAAGCCCTCCCAATAAGAGGGAAAGCGAGTGTCAAGTCCACCATTTGCACGTGATGATGATGAGGGGGATGGCATGCTTGGGCTTTTTTGTTTCTGCTGTTTGCTTGGGAATTAGGGAGGGGTATTGTCTCCGGAGACAGCTGGTTTTTGCCAGGTTCCAAGGCCGTCATGCTCGGCCTTGGAAGGGGCCCCACGTACTTCTAGCTTCTTCATTGGGATCGATCCAGAAGAGAGTATAGCCGGTGAGGAAGCCGTTCTGGTCTTCAACAGGGAGGGGACTCCACCAAACCTCAGCTGTGGACACCCCAATTTTTAGGGGATACACTTTCGGGCTGCTGGTTGGAGCTGTGGAGACAGGAAGGAATTAGAGTATGATCAACCGCAGGTCAAAATGAAGGGTACGCTGAGGCGTGGGTGGACCCATTGGGGTAAATAGAAGAGATTAGGCTTCAGTTTGCCATGAGCAGTCTCTGGAAGCAGAATAACAGAATAGCAGAGTTGGAAGGGATCTTGGAAGTTCTTCTAGTCTAACCCCCTGTTCAACTGTAGTATTTCAGACAAAAGGTTGTCCAATCTCTTCTTAAAAACCTACAACTTCTGCTGGCAAGCCATTCCACTGGTTAATTGTTCTGACCGTCAGGGAATTTCTCCTTAGTCCCAGGTTGCTTCCCTCCTTGATTAGCTTCCCTCCATTGCTTCTTGTCCTGCTTTCAGGTACCTTGGAAAATAGGTTGACTCCCTTTTCTTGGTGGCAGCCCCTCAAATATTGAAACACAGCTATCGTGTCCTCCCAGTCCTTCGTCTCACTAGACTAAAAATACCCAATTCCTATAACAGTTCTTCATATGCTTTAGCCTCCAGGCTCCTTATCATATTTGTTGCTTCTGAAGTGCTTCTGGTGACCCCTCAAAAAGTTTAAAACTGGATGAGCAAAAGATCTTCCTGATTCTACTGACTACTTACTAATAGTTACTCATCATGCCAGCCTCTGATAACAGCATTCAGAAGGGGAAGATGGAAGGCTTGCATTATAGAATAGAATTATAGATAGAATCAAGATCACGTGAAGTATTAATACCACTCTTTAATGCCTTGGTAAGGCCACACTTGGAATACTGCATCCAGTTTTGGTCACCACGATGTAAAAAAGATGTTGAGACTCTAGAAAGAGTACAAAGAAGAGCAACAAAGATGATTAGGGGATTGGAGGCTAAAACATATAAGGAACGGTTGCTAGAATTGGGTATGTCTAGTTTAACGAAGAGAAGGACAAGGGGGGACATGATAGCAGTATTCCAATATCTCAGGGGCTGCCATAAAGAAGAGGGAATTAAGCTATTTTCCAAAGCACCTGAAGGCAGGACAAGAAGCAACGGGTGGAAACTAATCAAGGATAGAAGCAACCTAGAACTAAGGAGAAACTTCCTGACAGTGAGAACAATTAATCAGTGGAACAGCCTGCCTCCAGAAGCAGTAAATGCTCCAACACTGGAAGTTTTTAAGAAGAGACTGGACAGCATTTGTCCGAAATGGTGTAGGGTTTCCTGCCTGAGCAGGGGGTTGGACTAGATGACCTCCAAGGTCCCTTCCAACTTTACTACTACTATTATTATTATTATTATTATTATAATTTTGGAGTTTAAGTTGATTATCAGGCTTAATCTGCACTACTGTTTTTCTTTTGCAACCCATTTCTGGAACAACCATACCTCCAGAGAGGATTAGAAATTACACCGCTTCCCCTCCCCCTCCCATAATGTAAAATTCCAACCAAGAAATCATTTGATTGCTTTGGAGGGAGGCTGAGCTGAACCAGCCCCCCGTGTGGAAGACACACCTTTCTGCCTTGTGTAAGCTTCTATTGATTGGGGCACCCCAACTGTGTCTCTGTAGAGAGGGTAGACGGAGATGTTGTAGCGCTGGAAAGGTTCAATATTTTCTGAAACAGAGAAGGGGCAGACGTAAGTAATGACTGAAGGGCCGGGCTCAAGCGGGGTACATTCTCACCCCCCCCCCCCCTTGAGCTGCTTGCTCTACTCTTGATTGTGCCCTTTCAAAACGTTGCACCACGAAACCTGCAATTATTAAGTTGTGCTGGCAAGTTGGGAATCTTTGGCCAGGTAAATGTCAGAAAGAAGATTTGCCTTCGCTCCCCAAGGGTGCCCCTGGCAGTGGATCACCTTGGATCAGCGTTTCTCTGATGCTTTCATTCTGTAGCTTTTGCCACTCAATGTTGCTGTCTTCTGCTGCAGAGGTCACTCGGTGCCACTCAACAATGTAGCCCGTCACTGGGGTCCTTGGGGGATCCCACCACAGCCGGAAGCTCTTCTCATCATGGGGGGATGCCTGGATCTTGAGCACAGGATGACCTGAGAACAATATCAGAGAATAGCACAATTGAATTGAATTGAATACTTTACTTGGCCAAGTGTAATTAGATACACAAAGAATTAGGGAGATGGAGACTAAAATATATGAAGAATGGTTGGAAGAATTGGGTATGTCTAGTCTAGTAAAAAGAAGGGGTAACATGATAGAAGTATTCCAGTATTCGAGGGGCTGCCAAAAAAAAGAGGGGGTCACCCTATTCTCCAAAGCACCTAAAGCAGAACAAGAAGTAATTGATGGATACTCAGCATGGAGAGATTCAACCAAGAACTAAGGAGAAATTTCCTGTCAATGAGAACAGTTAACCAGTGGAACTCCTTACCTCCAGAAGTTGTGGGCACTCCTTCACTAAAGGTTTTCAAGAAGAGATTGGACAGCCATTTGTCTGAAATGGTTTAGGATCCCCTGCTCGTGCAGGGGGTTGGACTACAAGACCTTCAAGGTCCCTTCCAACTCTGCTCTTCTGTTATTCTGCTACAGAGGGAGCACTTGGGTCTTTCTGCAGCTGGGATGGGAAATGGCAGGTGCACAGAGAGAGGCCCTGGGTGGAAAAGCCAGACCAATTCCTCCTCCTCGTCAGACTTTGCCTTCAGGCTACCGGATGGTCAAGGATAAGCAACGGGGTCTGGTGTTAGATGCTATTGGCTTAAAGGGAAAATGTCACTACATATGAATAATGGCTGCCTCTCTTATGGATGAGAGATGAGGTAAAGGCAACATCACAAGGAGATGGCAGAGCATGTTTGCCTCCAGCCTAGACTTGCACGGGCCAAAGCAAGCTCCTAACTGTGAAAGAAAGCATCTCAACCGCTTGCAATCAACAAAGAGCCTGTACACTATCTAGGAAAAGAGGCTTGTTTAGAAAGAAAAGGGACAAGTTCCTGTTTTGCTTCTGCTCCTTCTCATGCATTGTGCAATTGTTCCCTCCTGCAAAGCGCATGGTAGAGAAGCTCCCCCACAGAGAGAGGCTCTTGGAAAATCAGGCTTTGCTTGCCTTTGGCCTTATTTATTTATTTATTTATTTATTTATGAGACTTATATGCCGCTTTAAGTGCAAGCACTCTCTAAGCTGTGTACACCAGTAAGCAATGTATATATATATTTACATTGCTCCCAACAATCTGGGTCCTCGGAAGGATGGAAGGCTGAGTCAACCTTGAGCCGGTGAGATTTGAACCGCTTTAGCTGACTGAACACAGTCAGCTAAAGTGGCCTGCAGTACTGCACTCTAACTGCTGTGCCACCTCGACAATTGTTCCCTCCTGCAAAGCGCATGGTGGAGAAGCTCCCCCACAGAGAGAGGCTCTTGGAAAATCAGGCTTTGCTTCCCTTTGGCCTTTTTTCATTCCCACTAGCGCTGGCATGAACAGGCCGAGCGCTTTTTTCTGCAAAGGTCTCAGGAGGGTGCCTTCTTCTTGTCCCCAACCTGTACCAAAGCCTCTCCTTGACTCTCCCTTCCCCTGTGGCTCTTCCAGCCTCTTCCCCCTTAAACAGTAAACAGCTGTGGGACTGTTGAGGTGTGTAGGTGCTGCAATGTACTGTGCCAAGTGTTGGATCAGAGGGGGCAGCTTCAGTCCAACATCTATTGGGCACTGGAGGCCCCTTGTCCCGTTTCTGCTCAAGGCGTTTTTCCAGGCACCTCTGGCTGCTTGGAGTAGAGAGAGTCTGGTTCTTTTATCTCAACTTCTTTCTCTGAACCTGTTTGGTTTCTAGAAAAACCCCTGGTCCAGCCTGGATTTTCTCAAAGAGCAGCTGATCAACGGTGGCAGTAGGGGGCTATTTGATGAAGCAGGAGAGAGCCCACTCAACTCTCTCTATCCCAGTCAACTCTTGTTCAGTGGCTTCTGAATGTGGGTTCAGGGAACCTCAAGCATGCACTGCATCCATGTCCCAAAAACCCTCTGATCTGACTCAAGTATTTTGCTAGCCTGATAATCTTTTGGATGTGGGTTTAACACTATTCCAAGGGAGAAACTCCCTTTGGGTGCACCTGTAATTAATAGCCTCACTACCTACACCCAATTTAACAACTGAGTTTCCAGCAGATCACAAGAATACTTGTGAATTGCGCATTTCAGGCTGCAAAAGAAAGCCCGTTTGATACAGTGGTGAAAGCACCAAGCCAGAAACTATTGGACCCAGAGTTCTCATCCTGCCTTTGGCGTAGGGCCAGCTGGGTGACCTTGGTCAGTCAGGTTCCAAACTAAGCCCTTGAAGTAGGCAATGACAAACTACTTTTGAAAATCCAGGTAGTTGCCAGTAGTCAACACACACTTAAAGGCACGAAAAAATGAAAACAAACTGAATAGCAGATTCACAGAAACAGGATACCAAGTCAGTCTACTTCCTACCTTTTTTCTGCAGCAAGAAGATCTCTGTGGCTTGAGATGCACCTCTAGAGTTGTAGGCTGTGAGATAAACCCTTTTGGCTCCTGGTGGCATCAAAAATGTACATTGCCTCTCGGTGGTGTTACACAGAGAGGGTGAGTGGCCTGTGTGCTGACCGGTGCTGAGTGCTGCCCAGTATCCCAGGATTCTGCCGTTGGCCTCCTGTGGCTTCATCGGCTGTAGAATGAGACAAAGGCAGCTGGAAATGTAGCCCCTGAAATCTGCAGCTCCTATTGTCTGCGTCCACACAGCACGCTTAATCAGAGTAGCAGAAGAGCTAGAGTTTGCATTTGTACAACACACTAATCTTTGTTTTCACTGTAGCCAGCCTTTTTGTGGCTTAGTAGGTTTTGAGAGTTCAGGACAGTTGGAATAATTGGTTTGCGTGAACCAAGTTTGGAAATGGGTTAGTGCAATATGGGTAATCCTCGACTTACAACCATTTGCTTACTGCCCAAATGGTTAGTAAAAGCTACAACAGCACTGAAAAAAGTGACCTAGGACCATTTTTCACAACCATTGCAGCATCCCCGAAGTCACGTGATCAAAATTTGGATGCCCGGGAACCAGCGTGTGTTTATGATGACGGTTGCCGTGTCCTGGGTTTGTGGGATCCCTTTTTGTGACCTCCTGACAAGCAAAGCCAATGGGGAAGCCGGATTCACTTAACAACCGTGTTGCTAATGTAACAACTGCAGTGGTAAATGTTGGACTCAGTTGTATCTGTACGTTGACTACCTCTGATAAGATTACTCAGCTCCTTCCTGCTCCTGCTGCGTCGCTAAGTGTGGTCTCCCAAGAGCAGCTGCGGGATTAAACTTGCCTTGAGTCCTGCCCAGTGAGGCCCCTGCTTACCTTCCAGAGCAGCTGCACCTCCGTCCCTTTCTCGGCCTCTCGCAGTTTCCACCAGGCATCAAGACTTCCTGAAGGTGCTGTGGGAGAAAAAGAGGCTTCAGGATCATCAGCATTTGGCTGTGTTCCTTCAAAGCAACCAAGCTTAGGAGAGTGAAGACTAGCTCAGCCTCCACTGCCTTCAGCCATGATATGATACAATCCTTCATTGGACAGAACTGAGTTCACTGAGAAGATGTACTCTGGAAGTGGTTCCTCAACCCCCATGGGCCAAATCCTGAGACGAGAGAATGGCTCGGAGGCTGACCTGTCCCGATGCCCTGGCTATCCCGGTGACTTAGGGGGCTTGGCTATCTATGGAGAGGGGGAACTGCAAGACTCCTCTGCCCCTTCCCCACCTTTCTCCTGTGTAGTGAAGAGCTTGGCCGGGCTCCAGCTGCTCCAATAGCTGAGAGGCTGACGTCTGCAGCGCATCTGGAAGTGGTAGAGGCTGCCAAAGAGGAAGCCGCACTGCTGGATCTGCCGGATCTGCCGGCTAGAGGTGGTGATGTTGTGGACCTGGGATGAAAGGGAGAATGGGAGAAGCATGGAAAGGATCCTTCCCTTGCCGCCCCCTCCCCTCCGGCCCACAGGACCCTCCAACCTAGGGGAAGAGGCCAGAAATGCTTTGAGTAAAAAGGCCTTTGGCTGGACGGAAGAGGAGAGGGCCTAGGGGTTATGGGTGGCTACCAGAAATGGTCCGAAGCCTGAAGAAGAGGGCTTGGGGGCAGGGGCAGAAGGGAAAGCCAGGCCAAGGGGGCCTTGATGGTGCCCCTGAGGGTCCTACCAAGCAAAGCCATTCTTAAGCCAAAGAGGGACTCACAAGACTCCACTCCAGGCTGCCTTCCAGCTGGTAGCGCAGGTCACAGCCCTGTTCCATGAATTTGCTGTCCTTTCCTGCCTCCCATTTTACCATCAGGCAGTCGCTCTCCTCGGAGATGAGCTGGATGTCCTGGATGGTCGGGGGCTCCAGCCAGGCTGGAATGAACAATTCGGGGTGAGAGAGAGCTTTGTACTTGTTTAAAGTATTTTAATGCCAACCTCCAAAGTTATCCCAAGGGTAGGTAGCAAGAAGAGTGAAATCACCACCCTACATAATAAAATCAAGAGGCGGCCTATATTAAACAGCAACAGGAAAGAGCCTTTGGAGAGGAAGGGAAGGGATGAAAGAGGCGTGTTGGATGCCTGGCAGACATCTGCACCAGTGGTGCCTTTGGTGGCTACCAAGGGGATGTTTGTCAAAAGTGAGATCTTGGATCTTTAGGGTGATTTGGAACAGATTTTCCCCCACCTTGACCTTTGGAAGCCATGAATGGGTCTGAACATGTCTAGACTTTAATGAAGCTCCACCCATCTTTAGAGGATGAAGAATGGACCACCCAAAAAAGCTGTGTGCCATTCCAAAAAGTGTCATAGTTGTTGGATGTTGCTGTGAGATGCCAGGGTGGAGAGAAAAGAGGAGCGCAGCAATCATTCTACCTTCTTCCTTCCCAGAGGTGGGGTTTTTTTGGGTTGGTTGGGGAATGGGGAGGATGGGGTCTCTCTCCCTGGGCATCCCAAAAGTGCCTTTTCAAGAGGCAACTCAACGTTCTTTGTTTTTCCTTGAAGACATTTCACTTCTCATCCAAGAAGCTTCTTCAGTTCTGAACTGAAAAAGTTCCTTGGATGAGAAGCGAAACATCTTCCTGGAAAAACCAAGGAAGTCCATTTGCTTCTTGAAAAAGCACCTTTGGGACAACCGTGGCCTGGAGGACGAAGGATCCCCGTGGACAGAGCCTCCCTGGGCAGTTCTTTTGTGCTGAGTGACTTGCAAGGAGCAGCCTTCCTCCCAGTTCAGGGAGGGACCAAAACCTTCCAGGCATTTTGGCCTCTAAATCAGGGGTAGGCAACTTTGGCTCTTTTATGACTCGTGGACTTCAACTCCCAGAATTCCTGAGCCAGCCAACATCCACGAGTCATAAAAGAGCCAAGGTTGACTGCCCCTGCTCTAAACGAACACATTGCAACTCTCCCGGCTTCTCACCCACATCTATGGATTCAGCCCCATTCGCTAGGAAAGAGGGCAGGGATGATGGCACCCACCTAAATCCATGGGGTCCGCACACAAGCGTTCCGAGGTCACGTTGCCCAGGGCATTTTCCACAGACACCCAGAAAAGCATTTTTTGATACAGCTGCAGCTCCAGGCGTTGAAAAGTGCAGGACTGCTGGCCAGGCTTAGGAATGCAATCTGCGATGGGGGCCAGGGCCTTGCACTCCCTCGAGCTCCTGAAACATCAAGAAGAGCTATCAGGTGGCGGGGTGGGGGGGTGGGGGGTGGGGGGGGTTGGGGTTGGGAAGGGAGCTCTGCTCGCAGCTCCCTGGGATGTGCAGAGAGTCCAGTGGACTGCAAGATCTTATTAAAGGGAAAGTGCCCATCCCTGGCAGACATTATTCCAAGGAGGAAGGGACTCAGTTGAGCCAAAAGTTCTGGTTATTTGTTTTTTACAAGTTAATGGTCAGGAAGAATGAGAATGAAGAAAAGCAGACTGCCCCCCCTCCCCGTTGGCCCTCGCCTGACCGCAACGATTCGTCTCCTGTCCTTACCGGAATCCCTTCAGGGCCACGTGGGTTGGGAGGAGACTGTCCCTCCCAGGGTCCCACTGGCACGCCAGGTTCTTGGAGGTAATGTTGAAGATGCAGGTGAGGTTCTGAGGCTGGGATGGAGGGTCTGGTTGGCATTCACATGCAATGAGAGAAGAGAAGCAGGGAAACGTTTTCAGTCTCATGATGACAAGGGTGCAGGCAGTCCTGCAGCTTTGAGGGATTCACACATTGCATTGTCATAATGCAATCCAAGTCTCAAAATTTGATGTTCCTGACTGGTGACTGTTCGAACACACAAGTGTCACTTTCGCTGTCCCTCCCACCATATAACTGGTATTTTATATGAGCCAGAATTTCCTATCTAACATGCAACATCCATCAACGGGAGCAGAGAAGCTTATTTGATCTTGTGAAACCAGCACCTGGTGACCGGGTGCAGGCTTTCTGTTCTGCCCAATACAGCCAGTTTGTTAGGATGTGAATCTGCTGCTAAGTTCAGTTTTAGATTCATTGGACAACCCCACCTCCCACACACACAAAATGCCTTTCTATAGCATTGCTTGGAAGTCATTTTGTTAACTTAAAAGATTTACTTATGGCCAACTGTTGAACTTTGATTTCTGTTCTCTCAAAGGAAGTAATGGTTATCCAGCATTTTATCTGGCATCTCCCTGTCACTTGTAGCTTGGCTTCCTTGTTGAAGCCATCTCAAGCGACATCATCACTTTAATGGTATTCCTTAAATGCAATAAAAATGGCCTTTCTGTAGATTTGGTTAGAATTGGGATCTCATCACACACCAAACTAGTGGTTCTCCATCACAACAATTTTGAGAGGTGTGGTCTTCAACACCCAGAATTCCTTGCAATGGCCACACTGCAATGGCGAATTCTGGGAGCTGAATTTCACACTTCACAAAGTTGCCCAAATTAGGAAACCACCAGTGTCCAATGGTAAATGTTTGAAGCTATCTCTGCTGGCTTCGTTGCTACCATCAGAATGGGCTACCATTTCAGACTAATGGTTGTCCAGATCTCCAGTGATGGAGGACCCACATCTTCTGAAGGCAAGTTGTTCCACTGACTAATTGTTCTCACTGTTAGGACATTTCTCCTTAATTCCAGGTTGCTTCTCTCCTTGATCAGTTTCCATCCATTGCTTCTTGTCCTGCCTTTGGGTGCTTTGAGAAATAGGTTGACCCCTTCCTGTTTGTGGCAACCTCTCAAATATTGCTATCATGTATCCCCTCGTCCTTCTTTTCACTGGACTAGCCAAACCCAGTTTCTGCAATTGTTCTTTGTATGATTTAGCTTCCAGGCTCCTAATCATCTTAGTTGCTCTTCTCTGCATTTTTTTCCCCAGAGTCTCAACATAATTTTCGTAATGTGATGACCAAACCTGGGTGCAGTATAAGTGAGTAGGAATGTCTTCAGAGGGTCGTACAAGACGGCGGCTGCAAAGATGTGATCCAAACTCCTTCGTAGCCACTATTTTGACTTTTTTAAAAATTACATCCTGCTCTTAAGGAATTTTGGTTTTAGTGCTGGATTATTAGTTCTATTATTGATTATTGCTTGTTACGATTCATAAACAGGCAGTACAAAGAAGCAAAGGTTTCTTTATAATCACTGCACGGGGGAGAGTCCCGTTTGGATCCCTGCAGTGAGACTTACATCCAGCCTGGATCTGGGTAAGGTTCATAATCTGTGGGACGTCGTGTTCCTGTATGCAGCAGCTCAGGGGAGTCACAGGTTCCTTGAAGGGGCCGATGGTGATGTTGGAAACTTCCACTCCATTGCTGAAGCTCTTCTGGGATCCTTGAAGTTGTTGGTTGCCCAATTTCCAAATAATCTGGATTCTGCTACCCTTTGCAACGGGGCAGTGGTTTCTCCAGATGGTACAAGAAGCTGTGATATTTCCTCCCAAGATGACAGCTGAGGAGTTGACAGTCAAGTGACTGCAGGAGAGGGACCCTGCTGAAGAGGGAGAAAAGACTTGGAAGCAATGGATGGCAAGGTGGGCGACTGGCTGGCTGCCAAAGGTGGCAGCCTGCCCTTTCCCCAAGACTGCCCCTGTTGGGGGCCACGAGCACCTACCTCCTGGCATCCAGAGGAGCAAAAGAGCGCATCCCAGCATCTTTGACCAGGGTTCCCATATGCTTCTCATGATTTGGCTCAGGCAACGTAACATTTAATCCTGCAATTTACAGAAAGAGACATTCAGGCAGCTTCCAGCCCTTTGCCCTAAGGCCTGCCCCTCATGTGGGATTTGGCTGGCTCTGAACATGGACGACCGGTCGGTCGGAACACAGGCAGGGCTGACTGTGGGGCCCCAAAGAAGAAGGCGGTAAAAGGCTAGGATTTCATCCTCTTTTTGTTACCACACAAAGGGGCATTAGCACCTGCTTGATGACGTCCTGGGCTTCTCTGTGCCTCTTCCTGCTGTGGCATCAAGTTTCAGTACACTAAAAATATTGTTGAGTTGTCGGTTCTACATTCTGGGGTTGCACATTCAAGAAATAATAAAATAATAAAAAATATTTGTCTAGAATTTTAACATAGTCACCGAATGATCTGCATTCTAGGCTAAACATATTCAACTCGCTTTTCTTTGGTAGACCCAGTCCGAGCCTTGCTCCTTTTCGTCTGGTTTCCAGCTTTTGGGCATCTACTAAAGCTAAGCTGAATTCTCCAGGGAAGGACCAATTAGCATATGCAGAATATTGCTAATGTACCATAATCTGCCCATTGAGACTGAAGTTACGTAGTCAGTGCCTCACAGGAATGGCTCATGGCCTCCTAAAAACTCTCCAGCCCCTTTGGCATGATCCTGTGCCAAGCTAGGCATCACCTCTCTGAGCTGAGTCTTCCCACTGAGTACAGAATTTTGCCTTTATCTCTGAGGATTGTCTGGTGGGTTAGTGTCGTGATCTGCCCAGAGATCTGGGCTGGGCATGAGGCAAGTGGACGATCACTTAACCATGAGCCGGCAGTGTGCAGCAGCCATCACCAGAAAAGCTAACACAATCATGGCTTGTATAAACAGGCATAGAAGCAACATCAACATATTTATTAAATGTATATGCTGCCCATCTCAATCTGCAAAGCGACTCTGGGTGGAGTTACAATCTGCTGCTCCTCTGAGATGCTTCGGCAGCTGCAGGACTGCCGGAGGGACTGGAAGGGACCTGACACAGGACGGGCGGGTGACTAGAGTGTTCACCAAAGGCGGCTTTTGTGTCCAGGGATGGGACCTCTTCCCCTCTTCCCCTAGCACTGCTCGACGTACGGAGCGTGAATTCAAAGCAGTGGCTTGTTTTGGGAAGCCGTCCCACCTGGTCCTGACCCAGGAGTCCCTATGGATCTTCATCCTGGCAAGGACAGTGCCCAACTCCAAGAAAGCATCCGGCTATATGTGGGCACGTACATCATGGAAACCCGAACCACAGACAACTGGGTGGACTGCGCACTGCTCTGTTGCTTTCCTCTGCTTCTCCTTCCCCTTTCTTTCCCTTTCCAATTTCTCTACTGCCTTTATTTTTATTTTTATTTTATACTATGGCAATCTTAACAAAAAAAGGAAGAAAGGCAAAAGAAAATGTGACAGCTGACTGGACCACCAACCCTTCCAGTTGAGGTGGCCTGGAGATTTGTCTGCCTGGAAGTGTGACTCCCCACCTATCAACTAGGAGGATCCTGAGCAACGCTTATCACCCCCACACTTGAAAACGCTGTCAAATTGAATCCCCCCTCCCTTCTATCTTTGCAACAGGAGCCCCCCAGCTGGAACCAGTAGGCAAAAAGGGATCAGGCATCTCAAGGATCTGGCTTGGTTTGTTGACCCTGCCAGAGCAACTTTCCGACTGCTCCTGGCCAGCCATTTTAGTTGCAATCCAGCCTCCTGGCATGCAGCACCCCACGCCCCCCGTCCCCACATGGCTGTGGCTGGGCACTCAGCAAATGGCACCTTGCCAAACGCTTGCCATCTGGCTGCTCCTGAGTCTGGCAAGACTTTAGCGGCAGCTGCAGGCAAAAGGCACGCAGGCACCCCAGTTGACACACAGCTACACTCTGTGTGTAGCCGCGGCACGTAAGGTGGTGCGAGGGTCCCTGGAAAGATGGAAGAGGCTGCAATGCCCAGCCCTTACCTTAGGCCAGTTCAGGTGCCACAGCTCTGCTCCCTGGAGAGGACTCCTCTGCCAGTGAGCCACCCCACTTCCCCTGGAGGAAAAATGATCCTCCCACCGCCAAAAGCTGTCGTTATTCTCTCTCTCCGAGCAAGGTGATTGCAAAATGCTGCTCAGGGCTTTTATCTGCCCAACTCTCAGGAAGGAAGGAACTCTGTGGCTGACCAGCAAACACACAGGGTGTGCACACTCCTCCTTCGGCTTCCCCCTCCCTCCTGGCTTTTATAGAGCCTGGCCCAGCGTAGTGCTGGTGGAGCAATCCATACCTTTGTGGCCCCTACAGGCTGAGCCTGCTCAGAAATTGGAAGAGCCATGTGTGGGTGGGTGCCACGTGTCTAGTGTTCTGGACAAGATAGGATGGGCTGGCCTTGTCCTTTCCCCAAAGACTTCAATATTTCACAGAGATTAAAAATGTGACAGGGATACAGGTAGTCTTCAAACTGAGCCCAAAATTTGTGTTGCTGAGACAGTTGTTAAGTGAGTTTTGACCCATTTTATGCCCTCTCTTGCCACAGCTGTTAAGTGGATCACTGCAATTGTTAAGTTAGTAACACAGTGAATCTATCTTTCCCATTGAGTTTACTTGTCAGAAGGCCATAAAAGGTGATTACGTGGCCTCGGGACACTGTGACTGTCATAAATTTGTGAAAGGACTCTTTTTTCAGTACCATTGTCACTTCAAATAGTCACGTCGAGGACTATCTATAACTTGACTGCGTTCAAATGATGGCCTTAACCCGGACAGGTCTGGATCAGCTTCTGCCCATCACCACAGGCTCAGTAGGTGTTAATGGAAAGGTTTTTGTTTCTTTTAGACGTTGGATGAATCTGGTCCATCCGAAGATTGCCTGGTCATTCATGAACCTGGTTGAGTCTGTTGTGTGAATGAGGCCTCGGCTGCCCTCCAGTCCAAAGCTGTTACTCAGAGGCAAGAGGCAAAGCTGACCCAGGGCAGAAGGAGGAGGACAGATGTCCTGCTGGGACAGAGCTGAGCCAAGCCCCCCGTGGCTGCCAAAGACCTCTCCTCAGGGGAAAGGATGGGCTGTGATTGGGAAAAGCGAGCTTATTGCCCAATTCCACACGACTGTCGAAGTTTCATTTCCCGAGCAAGAGGTTGTTCATTGCATCATTTGGTGGTATGCTCACTGCAGGCAGGAATGGTTTCCACTAGCCTTTGAGAGAAAAGAAGCTACTCCTCAGTGACCACTCCCCTGAGCTGGACATACGATCATCTGTGCCTTGGCCATGGAAGTGGTGAATTCATCAGGCTCGCTCTGTACCTCATACAAGAACTTTAGGACAGATATTCCTTCCAAAAATACCATCGGTTTCTGGATCAGTTCTTTTTAGAGGAGCAGGTGTAGCGAACACTTTGGGACGATCCTGGCTGACTCAGGAATTCTGGGAGTTGAAGTCCACAAGTCATAAAAGAGCCAAGGTTGCCTACTCCTGGTCTACTGGAATGTGTTAATTTGGTGGATTACCACTATGGGTGGGGGATCTCAGAAGAATAGAATAGAATAGAATAGAATAGAATAGAATAGAATAGAATAGAATAGAATAGAATAGAATAGAATAGAATAGAGCTGGAAGGGACCTTGGGGGTCTTCTAGTCCAACTCCTTGCTCAAGCAGGAGAACCTACATCATCTCAGACAAGAGGCTGTCCAGCCTCTTCTTAAAAACCTCCAGTGATGGAGCACCTATGATTTCTGGAGGCAAGCTGTTCTACTGATTAATTGTCCTCACTGTTAGGAAGTTTCTTGTCAACGCTGTGACAAACTGAACTGAAGCCATTTTCATTTTGTCTTCGTTGCCACATATTTAGTTACAAGAAGGAAAGGGGGGTAGTTTTCAGTTAGCCAAAATAATTCACATGGATAGGAACCAAAGTCCTTGCTGATAGCATTTTGGCAGGTGGAGCAGCTGGGAGGAGTGCCCAAGTTTTCTAACAATTGGTGAATGTGATTTATGACACCAAATTGGGGTGGGAAATGTAACTGGCAATTTTGTAACCAAGGGGAGGGGAATTTAGTCTTGGGTTCACCCTTGTATGTGCCATCATAGTGTAGTCAAATAAAAATGTTCTTTAAGGAAGAAATGCTTGCCTTGAAGTTCTTTTAAATGGTCTCATCTATCGGAACCATGACATTTCTCCTTAAATCTTGGTTTCTTCTTTCTTTGATCAGTTTCCAACCATTGTTTCTCATCCTGACTTCTGATGCTTTGGAGAATAATTTGACCCCCCTCTTCTTTGTGGCAGCTTCTCAAATACTAGAATACTGTTATCATGTCCCCCCTGTTTCTTCTTTTCTTTAGCCTAGCTAAATCTGTTCTTCATATGTTTAGTCTCCAGGCATTTGATCATTTTAATTGCTCTGAACTTTTTCCAAAATCTCAACATCTTTTTTTTAATATGGTGACTAAAATTGGCTGCAGTACCCCATTCTAACTGGGTACAGCCAGTCTAGAGAAAAGAAAGACTAGGGGTGACATGATAGCAGTGCTCCAATATCTGAGGGGCTGCCACAAAGAACAGGGGGTCCACTTACTTTCCAGAGCACCGGAAGGCAGGAGAAGAAACAATGGATGGAAATTCATCAAGGAGAGAAGCCACCTGGAATTAAGGAGAAATTTCCTGACCGTGAGAACATTCTATTAGTGGAACGGCTTGCCTTCAGAGGTTGTGGGTGCTCCATCACTGGAGGCTTTTAAGAAAAGACTGGACAGCCTTTGTCCAGGTATAGGGCCTCCTGCTTGTGCAGGGGGCTGGACTAGAAGACCACCAAGGTCCCTTCCAACTCTATTATTCTATATTCTGCAAATAATTATTAAGTATTTAAAGGAGATTTTGAATTTAAAAATTGCTACTGGATTTAATTTCCATTGATTCCAACGGAAGTTGGAATCTGGTCCCCTAGAACTCCAATTCTTTGTTGTTCATTTATTTTATTTGTACACCATTAATAAAATAAACTTTAATCTTAATAAAAAGTAGAAAAAAGCAACTTCAAACGTCAAATCAAACTAAGGGAAAAAGACAAAAGGCAAAAAAAATCTACCTTATATTATAGTATTTTATGCAGATCAATGGTCACTAGTTTACTAATGAATTCTTTTGTCATTGTTCTGACAGAGACGAATAAAGCTCTGAGGCTTGAAAATTCCTCAAAGAACATGTTTATTAGTTACAAAGTACTGGCATGGTCAAAAGTGAAACCAAGTCTGAATACACAAGTAACAATTACCCAATTACAAAGTATAATGGCCCACCCACAAAACTATGCAAGCAACTACGTTCCCCAATATATTCACAGTGGGAGCAGTAGATGACCTTGGTTCCCACGGGACAGAAGCACCTGGGCAACCCCCCCCTCCCTCCTATGTGGCAACCTAGAACGAGAAGAAAAATG